TATCCAATGTTGAGCCAGTTGCTTCAAGGCGTGTGGCAAAGCGTCGGATTGTGCGACCAATCGGTGCCGGACGGTGGGGAAATCGTCGACGAAATTCACGTTGTATTTTTATCACTGATAAATTATTCCGTAAGAACATTGACACGATTATTCCATGTTTTTGGGGAGTAAAACGGTCCATGTTTATTTTCAGTGTATTTTACATTTGTTCACTACACAATTTTCAACAACAGAATGACAGGAAATGTCATATAAAAAAATAAACAAATTTTCTTTAGTGCCAGTACTTGTGCGGCACCCAGTATAACGCGAATTAGATAGAAATTGAAAACAAAACCGCATCAAGCCTGGATTTAAACGAAGTCATTGATACTTTTGGGAAAACTAAAGCTAGGATTTTTTTTTAAATATAATTGTTATTTAGTCAGTTGGTAGGCCCGACCTTTATATAATAAACCCTTAAATCTTCTGTATTTCATTTTATTCGCCAAACCTACATCAAGTATTAATTGTAATTTATGTTGTTACTGTTTAATATTTTTATTACCTGCCATGCACAAATAAGAGCTTACGTAGCTTAGCATTTTTAAAATATTTGTATATTTCATATTTTTATTTGATAAAACCTAATCAGTTTACATAGCAGTGGGGCCCCATTTTTAATTTGCCCCAGGGCCCTTGGTCACCTAGCTACGCCACTGAACACACAATTCATGATTTCGCTGAGTCAGCACTCTGGGAGGATAGATTTGCTGCATCTGCTTACATTCGTCTAAGATTTATCGATACGCTATCAATACGAACAGCTAAACCAATAAATTTTTAAATTAAATAAAAATGTGTTGTACATACATTTCATTTGTTTTGTTTAAAGTTATTCTTCAACAGCGTAAATAGTTGTTGCTGTTTTGGTAATTCGATTGCGTACTCTTTTCTTAATCTACTGGTTTATGTACAAATATGCTGCTACAATTATATTTTAGCTGACAAAATATTGTAAATAAAAGCAACAAGACAATTGATTTCATCTAGCTTGACTTTCCACCCTTGAAAAAACCGTGACTTGATAACCTCCTCCATCTGTTTATTCTTGAAGTCAGTTTAAAATGAGACTGTACAGAGATGTGTAAAATTTTAATGTTTAAAATCCCGGGATATAATTATTTCAACATGATAAAATAATATTATGAGTGTTAATTTCAATTAAGCATATATTTTTTTTTATTGTGTAGCTCTCAGTGAAAAAGCGCCATCTACACGCGTAGTGAGCAAACAACTATTCTAAGCCGCATTGCTCGAATAAAAATACAGTCACGCGAACCTTACAATTACTTCAGTACAAAGCTTATCCAATAGGTAGCGCTTTCAACCTTGAATAAGTATAATTAAAGTAAGTACCTAGTTACTATTGATGCCTTTGGTATATATAATATATATTTATATACAGTCTACTCTGGTTAATTTGAAACTCGAGGGACTCTTAATATATTACAAATTATCGAGTGTTTGATATATCAAATGGTTCAAAATTTATGAGAGAAAATAAATGAAACTTCGAATTATTAAATGTTGATCAATTATAATATTTATTCACTGCTATTCTCAAACAATGTCAAAAGTTAAGAGGTACATTGGTGTACATACATGTATTCAAAATGTTAATGAATTAATCTTTCGAAATAACTCTGTTATACTGGTTTGCTTCAAAGCACATTGCTGCTGCTCAGACTGCTCCTTTTTTTAAGACAAAAGGTGCCTGAAATGTTTTTTCATCATTTTCGTTTTGTAGACAGTAGCTTTGTAAGGTATCGAATGAGGATCTTGTTACCTTAACTGACACCTCTGCCAAAGTTTCTGATTTACGTCCTCGCTTATAGAATTTCGCCATCGGTTAGTGAACCTGAGACAGCAACATCTCATCCACTTGAACAAAGTCAGAAAAACTCCCACCGCTGATATCAACTAACGGTTCTATTGCTGATTCTTTATCATCCATAAGTATTGGAAGATTTTCTGTTTCAATTTCTTTGCGATAGAACGTCTTAAAATTATGAATGATCCCTTGGTCCAATGGTTGCAATTTGGAAGTTGTATTTAGCGGAAAGAAGTAGAGTTCCACGTTGGACAATGTAGGAGGAATGTTGTGAACAGTGCAATTGTCTAAAAATAGTAAAACATTCCGCTTTTGTCGTTGCATGTCCCCATTAACTGTTAAAAGCCAATTTTTAGAAACTTCTGTCGTAATCCAAGCTTTTTTGTTAGCACGATTATCAGCAGGAAACGATTTTACTCCTTTGAAACATCGCGGTTTCATTACTTTTCCTATCACTAAAGTTTTAATTTTTCCGATCCGTCCATATTTAAAAATAAAATAAATCAGTGGCGCTACAACCTCTTCAGGTCTGGGCCTCAGATTTCTGAATCTGCTTCATGATCATTATTAAATCTAATAGGCAAGTAGGTGATCAGCCTCCAGTGCCTGACACACGCCGTCGACTTTTTGGGTCTAAGACGTGTCGGTTTCCTCACGATGTCGTTCGAGCAAATTTTAAATACGCACATAGAAAGAAACATCATTAGTGCACAGCCGGGGATCGAACCTCCGACCTCAGGGATGAGAGTCGCACTCTGAAGCCACTAGACCAACACTGCTCAATACCGTCCATATTTACTGCAAGTAAAACTGTGATCCTCTCTTTACTATATTTTCCTCCATGAAATTTTTCATCTTTAATAGTAAGCGTCTACTACTATTACTTTCTAGGGCTCATAACTTACACAAAATTTTAATCTGCATACCAACGAAAGAGTAACAGCCCTGCGATTCTGTAACTCGCTTCACACACTCGCAGCGCTGATTTTTGCTGTCAAATCGTTCGTTTCGGTGTCATGTTACAATTTGGTATTCTGATAAACAATAACCGCGACAAAAGCGCCGCTCAAATGAGATTGTTCACATTTGGAACTAAAATTTGGCACTGCTACACTTACGCTCCAAAATTGTTGGTATTTGGTATTCTGATACATACCATTTGACATCTCATCTCACTTAAATGTACATTTTGATTATTTAAGCATTAAAAATATATTTAATATTTTTAAGTTTCTGTCGCTCATATACACCACGGCTGGTCGAAGTATAAACTCTTAATTGGACGTTATAAACAAAATACATAACTTACGATTTACTAATAAATAAACTTACTACTCACCTTTAAGCGGCCCCATTGCCAGATGGGTTTTAATAATTTTCCTTGCTATGCTTTGGTTAAGCATATTTCTATATTAATCTTGCTAATTATTTTCCATCCGATAAATCATTTTTGAGATATTTTCACAGTTTATCCTTTTTTTTATTATTCTTCATTTTATTTCAAACGTCGACCATTTTGTTTTATTAAAAATATTTTGTTTATATATGTTCATCATATAATAATTTGTCATCATAATTTTGACAATTAACTCTTTTTTATAAATAAAATGAGTCAATTGTCACGATATTAATAGACAACAACTCACTAGGTTCACTCCCTCCACTTATCAAGACGTAATGTAAAATTTCTTAACAGAATACCATGAGATTCCAAAAATTACGTCAGTGACGAAGGGAGCGCTGTTACTGCGTAGTGGACTCACGGATTAACAGTGAGTTACAGAATCGCAGGGCTGTATCTGAATTATAACTAAACTAACCACTTCGATAGAAGTGTGTGTCAAATATTCAAACTAATCATAACAAAAACAAAGGCTCGTGTACGTAGTTATATAACCCCGTGTGTTACCACCACCAACAAAAACCATTGCAACATCCTATATATTTCATTAGCCGAAATGCTGTTACATGATTTTACGAACCACTCTTAGTTCTTAATAAGTAACGTTTCCTAGTAGAGCGTGAGAACAATGTATCAGCAGAACGGTCACGTAGGCCAGTTACCTTTAAGAATAGGATATAAATATAATAGAACGCTTGTAATATTGAGTATTAAACGGACCTCAAATCGGACCGGTTGTATTCATTTTAACTTTAAGTTTTTAAAAACCCTTTTTCGCGGACCCACTACTTGACTGTTGGACTCCGATGAATTCGAATGAACGCGTCGTTTTGTTATATAGCAATAGATTTTTTCGTTCCAATTACCAAGTGCATGTATGAGATCGAAATTTAAAGAGATTTTGTAGGGAACTCGTGATAACTTTGAACTATAGAGAGGTTCGCTTTATCGCAGGTTTGAATTAACCAGAGTCCACTGTACATATATATATAATTATATAATATAATGTCTATATAATTATATAAAATAATATATATATATATATATATAAAATAATGTCTTTATTTAAAGATTGCTTTTCAAGGCATCACATACTGATAACTAAAATATATGTACATAAAAGTATCATGAAACCATTAGTTGGGTTTTAATCCTAGTTTTCTACATTCAATTAAAAATAATATGTGGTATGGTGAATTTTCAATTTCGAAGTTCGTAAAGTTAAATATTTCTCAATTTAGAGTTATGTATATACCTAGGTAGGTCTCTATAATCTATAATTGTTTTAATTTAATCTCCAAGGTATATAGAAATAAATGAAATATAAAAAATTACTTATAAAGAAGACATATGACTGATCATTAACTAGTTTTTGAGACGTCCCTTCAAGCAATAAGTATGCTCGTGATGAGGGAACTCAATGCTGTTTTACAATATAATGCAATATATTAATGTAAATATACAACTTTGTAATATTGTTTTAACATGAACATATTATTACTAATAATCTAGGATACCTTTTACCTACGATTTAACGTGTTCTTGCATTCTCCAGCCCGTAGTCTTGATAGCATATTATTATATTATTTCGACTATCAGGCGGAGTCAAATTATCTTTACGATCCCTGTATGCTAATGTTGTGATTATGGTATCATCTAATTATTATGTAGACCTTAATTATTATGTATATCAACAAATATACATATATTTATTTCCGGCCAATTTCACGGAAGTATTGACGATAGCCATGGTAGCTTCCCTGTGGTTCTAAAATGATGCCAGTCGTATATAAATCTCACAATAATAATAAATATGAGAAAACTAAGTACTACATTCACAATGTTAATCGAACTTATTGGCATTAACTTCGTCTCGGTTCGTCCGCAAACGTTTCCCAGTGGCATTGTGCTTATCTGAAAAATAATAAAAAATATATTCCTGTTACTTCTGAAGGCAGAAGGACTGATTATTCATTATAGAATGAGATATGACATTACTATTTCATTGCAAAAAAATCTAAATAAGACGTACAAAATACTCTTAAGACTTGGGAACACTTTGTCTTATGAGAATAAAGTTTTGAGTAATATTTTTTTTATTTAATAACTGCTTGTATCTACCGATGATTGAAGAGAGTGGTATTGTGGTTGTATACTCGTAACATATCTAATTTATTTCTAACAGATAGAATATAAAAGGAAAAATAATTCTGTAAGGAATTAAATCGCCGCCGCCGCTCCCGAGCTCGAAGCGAATTGTAATTATTTTCGGACGAGTTAACGATAACAGATGTTTACTGGCTGACACCGAAACCGGAATCTGGTGTTGCTAACCCTCAACTACTATTCCAACTCAATAGTGGAAAAGGAGATGGATTTTTTTTGGCACAGAATGAAGGAGGAGATGGCTGCGCAAACAAAGGCAATAACCGAAGCTGTCACTAGAAACGTGTTAGAGAATATCAACGAAAAATTGACTGCTCTTGTGGAAGAAAACAAAAGCCTGAAGACTGAAGTAAAAATCTTACATGACAAAATTAAGGATAATCTTCTTTGGTATAAAAGAGGAACAGCGCATGGAGTCTCCAATCGAAGTCATAAAACAAGTACTTGAAGAAAACATGAATCTTCATCTTAACTCAAATGAAATTAATAAAGCTTATCGACTAGGAGAAAAAAAAGGCAACAAACCGCGTCCTATCCTTGTAATGTTTACAACAAACTGGAGAAGAAACGAAGTACTTAAGAGCACCTAAAAACTCAAGAGAAATACAACATAATACTAACAGCAAGATCGAAAACCAAGCAATTGAATCCCAAAAGAAGGATAAAGCTTCGGGCCCTGACGGGATCAATAATGATATGCTTCAAGTCTGCAAAAAAGAGATATCACCACTACTAAAATACATCTTTAACGATATACTGAGCACTGAACAAATTCCGTTACAGTGGACCACATCAACGATCATCCTCCTCCACACAAAAGGTGACAGGAGTGACATGAGAGTCAATTGATTATGTGAAAGAGTACACATACCTGGCCAACAGATCTCAACCACTGGTATAATGTCGAAGGAGATTGATACAAGAATTGGAAAAGCATGTAACTGGGGGCTTAGCGAAATCATGAAAAACACAGAAATAAAAATAAATGTCAAATCAAAGCTGTATAACACTTGCATACTTCCAGTATTAACATACGCCTGCCAAACTTGGGCACTCACTAAAATGCAAACCAGGCAACTGAAGACATGCCAGACGGCGATGGAAAGAAGCATGCTAAATATCAGGAAGTCCGATAGAATCAATAATAAAATCATAAGAAACCACACGAAGATTGTAGACGTCACAACGTGGATACGAAGATTGAAATGGAAATGGGTTGGTCACATAATAAGAGGTATAGAAAAGTGGAACAAAAAGATCATATATTGGTACCCAAGAAATAAGAAAAGAAAACGAGGTAGACAGTTTCGAAGGTGGGAAGACGAAATAAAATCCGTAACTGGGAAAATTTAGACCAGGAAAGCTCAGAACAGAGCAGAGTGGAAAGAAATGGAGGAGGCCTTTTCCAAAGTTGAGCAAACAGATGGGTTGTCGGTGTCACCGACTCACTAGTGATAATAGTTTAGTTTTAAAATAATGTAAAATTTTCTATCTGAATAAAGGCTTTTATTATGATTTATTATTATTATTATTACTCGTAACACTAAATTTAATATTTAATAGTAAATTATACATTAAATTTTCTAATGTTTACCATCCGTTAAAAGAACATTCCCTTAAAGTTTGCTTTTAATACACGCTATTGTAGCGCAAAATTAAATTCAATACTTCCTTTCCAGACGTCTTTACGCAAATAAAGTTTTCTATTAAATCGATTAAGGAAAAACAAGCGAAACACCTGACCTATTTTCTGGGTATCTGATATCTATAGACTCCTACAAAAACATTCGCTCATTCAATAAGGACAAGTATTTCCGTTATCAAATCTAATTTAATGTAATATAACCAATATCCTAAATAGCTACTCCATTCAATTATATAGAATCAAGACAATTCATAGTTTTCACATAAAAATCTTAAAATACTTGACAGAGTAAACTATTAACTTTAATGGTAAATTATTTATCATAGTTCACAATGGGGTAATTTAATGCTGGGAAGTTTGATATCTGATTAGTTGTCATGTAACATAAGTACGGCTATGAATGGTTTCGTGTATTAATTATATTTGTTGAGCCAAAATCCTTAAGGATAGATATTTATGTTACCATATAGTTCTGAAGTCATATTTTTGCAGTATATACCGATATACGTCACATTGGATATGCACAAACTTGTGCACTATTATATCTATTGTCGATTTAAACTATAATCATTTAAGCACCCAAAACATTTACCTAAAACTTCCATAAAATATAAAGTTACCTAAATATGTATAGCCAACATTTAAATACCAAGCCTAGGCAGTAACTTACTTGTACTTGAGAAATCGTCTTATCTTCAGATTTCGAGCATCTTATATCAGATAAATCTCGAATAATCCTTTTATATTTGAGTAGCAAAGCTTGAAAACGGGGAATAAAGTGACAATCGCATCTCCACGGATTCTGTCCAAGAAATACGCCCATTATATTATTATTCGCTTGAAATGCTTTGTCAAAGGCATAAACTGGTATCTGAAATATAAATTATAATATTCACATATTTTAAAACTTTATTAACCCACATTCTGGGCGACAGAATTATGTATATGTTTCGTAATCATTATTTTTCTAATAGGCAAGTAATCAGTCTTCTGTGCCACACGCCGTCGACTGTTTGGGTCCAAGGCTGAATCGTGCCACTATCGTGAAACTAGCATTCACGATATTAAATGCACACTTAAAAAGTCCATTGGCGCACAGCTGGAGTTCAAACCTACGAACTCAGAGTTGCACGGATAGTTAGATAAAAAAGGATATGATGAGCAGTGTTGGCCTAGTGGCTTCAGCGTGCGACTCTCATCCCTGATGTCGTAGGTTCGATTCCCGGCTGTGCACCAATGGACATTCTTTCTATGTGAGCATTTAACATTTGCTCGAACGGTGAAGGAAAACATCGTGAGGAAACCAACAAGTCTTAGACCCAAACAGTCGACAGCGTGTGTATTAGATTGAAAAATGATCATAAAACAGATTCAGAAGTCAGAGGCCCAGACCTAAAGAGGTTGTAGCGCAACTGATTTATTTAAAAAAAAGGTTCACAGCAAAAGCCTGCACGGCAGGGCTACTCTATAGTCTGCAATTGATTCCAATTCCAATAAATCTACATTTTGATGTTTTTCAAATATTAAAAGTGAAAACTTGAAAGTTGTACTTTGGTAGGTACGTAAACTCATCTTCAACATCGGCCGCTATTGAAGTGACGGTTAAAAGTTAAGCCTGCAGTAACTACTTATGTATTATTAAAACGCCAAGGTGAAGGCTTGATCAGTTTCTCATATAATATGTTACATGTTACAAACCATTAGTACACTATACGAATAATTGTAATGCATAATGAAACACAGCAATAGTTAACCTGTTTCAAAAAGTTCCCTCGTAGACTCAGTACCCTGAAAGTGGTGAACCATTCAGAACCTTCCAACTCTTTAACAGCCGGAATACTATTATTGTCCAAATATAAATCCATAAGTTTTCTATATTGAGGCTCCTGAACCAATGGTCTAATTGTATTTAACTGAAAATATGAGATATGATGATATTAAATTATTTATCGTACCTAGAAATTACAACGGACCGGGTACAAAAGAAATTCATCAGGCACCTGTATTGTTGAATGCACGTTGTGTTATAGTCCAATGGTTCTTTTTTACTCCTTAGGTATCCAACTTAATTCATGTGCTGTGAGCAACAACAAACTCAGAGTGTGCGCAGGATTTGCGCTTACCATGTAGGTATCTTATAAAGTTGTTACGTGACTTAAATTCGGTGGCGGTTATTGGAGAGATGTTCAAATGTATGTTAAATGAAACTCTTTGTTTAAAGCTGGGTATCATCTCAGGCTTTAATCGTTTAAAACATGAGGGGATAGCAAAAAACTAACTTTTTATGTGACACTTCTATTGTCTATCTATCTATTTAAAAATGAATTGCTGTTCGTTAGTCTCGCTAAAACTCGAGAACGACTAATCGGATTTATGTTACCTTAGTCATGAAATGTTCGTGGAAGTCTAGGGAAGGTTTAAAAGGCGAGAAAAAATCGAATAACTTCCGGGAAAACCCTAAAAACAGCCCTTTTCTATTTCCCATACAAACGTTTTCTAGAGTCAATTTGAACTTTATTGCTATTCAATAAAGTTTATATTAAATTATAATCACACACTGTTGCAAGCAATTTAGGTGTGTTCCTAACGTCAAAGAGTCAATTTGCAATTTATTACCGCTGCATAAAGTTCAAATTCAATCATATCTATGAAAATAGTCTTTGCGTGCGCTTTGGAGGATCTAATGTCGCGTTCCGAAAATACACAAAAGTGAATCGCGAACGCGACAAAAAATGTAATAAACTGTTTATATTACTGATTTCCAATTAATTTGGTCGGCTTCGCGAAACTTAATTTTAGCTAACTTCAGTTGTAACTGTATCAGATTATTTTTTTAAGTTTGATAAATCTTAAGTTTCTGAACACCACCATGATATTTGACATTAGATTTGACAACCAACTAATATTTCAATCATTCTGTCGCACTTCAGAACACGGAGATTTATGGCTTAAAGGTAAACTCCAAAAAAATAAATAAAAAAATCAGAACACGGAAAAAAATATTACGATTGACGATATTGTGTTACGATCATGGTTACGATATTCTATAAGTGCATCCTTCTATCTTTGTGAGTGACGATTACCGCTACGTGCGTGAGAACTTTCTTTACTTTTGTGATAGTGACATTCCAAGAAGTGTGCTCTTTTTTTGTTGACATTTTGTGATAGTGACACTTTACTGTTAAGCGAGCGAGAAATTTTCTCACTTTGATTTCGTTACGATGCCGAGGAGAAGACGACCTGACTTAGGTCGTCGCAGTCAATCAAATGTGCGAAGAGCTATCTCACGTGCTAACCGCAAAGAATATAAACGTAAGTGTAGTCGAACTGTTGGACATTTTCAAAAACGAATGTTATATTACTATTTATGAGTGTATAGTATACTTATTAGGGCTTAGGGCTTATTTTGGCTTCAAGTGTGCAAAGATTGCTAACATTTGGTTTGCGCTTTATTAACTAAAACACATATATGTAACTTAATTAATGTTAGGTTACATGCAGACCAAATAAGTTCCTTTCCACGAGCTCGTGGAAAGGAAAACAATTCGGCAGTGCTCCAGTGCCTAGGCCTCAGGGTGCCTATTGGTTACGTCACGAGGTGACATCGACCGCGATACTATTCGTACTAAGCAAATACTAACCTCTCTAAAAGGAAGGAACAATGTATGGATATGAACGGCATAGATTAACAGACATTTTTAACTGTCCGTTGAGTGAACAGAAAAAAAGTCTGCTTCATATCAGCTCCTGTAAGAAATAGTTGATCTTTTTGCAAATATTTTATCTATTATTGTTTAATATTGGGTTTTTGAAGTTATTGAAGTTATACTTCTTTAGGCGCGTTATGAAAAATTGATGAGAGTGAAATTTTACGATTGCGCGCGCACCGTGATACAAAATTTTCAGTATGAAGTTTTTAAACCATCCGGGCGCCGAGCGTGCGCGAGCGAGATGGGAATAAGACAATCTACAATTAAAAAGAAATGGAATATGCGTGAAGTTAGCAGCTATGCACGAATTTTGAATGACTATAATGACATTTACCTTTTAAACAAATAAATTTTCATTATACATGTGCGAATTTTATATGTGCGTCTGAATTATAATCAGAAGTGATTTAAATTGAATATTTAAATCAATACTAATTAATATTAGAAAATATTTGTGAAAAAACTGTGCTCATCAACCTTCCTAAGTGCTTCAATACAATTGAGGTTAACTATCCGTATGTATTATTATTATCGAGTATTATTGTTGAGTAAAACTGAAACATGAACGGTTATTCATTGCTTTTATTTATTGTGTTTGTTACAGCAACTTTTTAGAAATATTCTACGACCCTATATATCAATAATTGAGAACAAAGATTTAAGCACGAATACTAATAAGGAGAAAATGAAGGCTTGGAGAGATATAACAGAGAAGTAAACATTTTAATAAGTACCAATACTCAAAATAATACTCGATAAAAATGACCACATTGTTTAATCAAAACAAGTAATTTTTCAGATTTAATCTAGCAAATGGCCTTATCCAAGAGACAAAAAACAATTGATGAATCAGTGGAAGTGCACTAAATTGAATACAAAAAAAGAGTTGTCATCTTATCGCCGTTAAACATCAAAAACTGGAGGTGGACCAAAGCCACCATCACCTTCTCCAGACACAATGGACGTGGCAGAGATGATACTGCAACAGTTTGAAATCGATTTCAATGAATTTGATTGTGGTGGTGTCGAGGTAGGAATGTTAATTATAAATATGATGTATGGTGATGTTCAAGGTTCAACCTCTCAAGCATAAGCATATGCTCACAACAGTACTTTACTCCCCTACAGGGTAGTCAGAGATATTCTAATACCTCGGAATATCCATGTTGCACATGTAGTACCGAAACTCTGTCCAGCCAGAAGTGAGCCCATTCCCACTTATAATGGACAGTGCGTATAATACACCTTAACACCTGAGTGCGAACCACTCAACATGATACTTAAATTAATAGATTTTATTTATATATTTCAGGATATTACAAATAAAATCATTTTGGAAACAATTGATATCCCAAAAGAAAATAAAGCCTACAATGACAAGGTAATAAATCAGTTTTGACATAACTTTAATACTAGAAAAGCCAGACAAAGGTGTGCACAACAGTGACAACATAACTTAACAATTTCATTATTTTGTAGGATTATAATCCAAAGGTTAAAGAAAATCACGTCGAACTGAACAACAAGAATCCCCAAACAACTCCAAAGAAACCTACAAGGAAGACACCGGTATTATATTTAAATTATCTCTATCCCTAAATATAATAAAAGAAAGTTGCTATCCAGGTCTGTAGCATGTGCAATTAGTTTTTCTAAACTACACAACGGATTTTGATCTGACTAAGACAAAGACTGTTCTTCCAGGAAGGATTTGTATAATATGAATTATATTTTTTTTAAGTTTTGCATGGAAAGAGCTTAATTTAATATTCTCTTATTTGTTGCAGAAAGCAAGTAGTAGTTTTAGTTTTGGAGAAGCCTCGTATCAAGATATGCATAGCTTTCGGGCTCTGGAAAATGAGCAGCTTCAAATAGAACACAAACATAGAGTTAAGAATATGGCAGAGATGCACAACAAGTAATGATTAATTTAAAATTACAAATTGAAATTCTGATGAAGACATTGGAGTCACTTAAAAATAAATACCTAGTATAATTAAATAAAAATGTTTTAAAGAGAAGTAGTGTTTTATTTGTTTAAATAACTTAATTGTTAAAACAACCTAAATTAAGAACTATCAAACTTAAAAGTTTTCATCAATAAAAATGGCTCTCACTGCTGCTCCACACAGTGTATTTTGGTAGTGAGGGCAGGGTCTCTTCATCATCATCAGAGATAGGTTCCTCTTTTAAATCAATGGCTATATTGTGCAATACTGCCAAAGCTACAACATACATCTTAGTGTTTGGTAGAGATGTTCTAAATATATAATAACTAGCTGACCGGGCAAACGTCGTTTTGCCATGTATATCATTTATAATAAAAAAAAATAGGGGTTGATCGTAGAGGGGTGAAAGTTTGGGGTTGTGTGTATTTTTTAATGCTGTATCATAAAAAAATAAAAACAGAAAAAAATATCTAAAAATAAAAAAATAAATATTTAGGGGTGGACTACCCTTAACATTTAGGGGGATGAAAAATAGATGTTGGCCGATTCTCATAGATACCGGATAAGCACAAAAAATTTCATCAAAATCGGTCAAGCCGTTTCGGAGGAGTATGGCAACGAAAACTGTGACACGAGAATTTTATATACATATTAGATAATATATACTTTTAACTTAATAGAATTTATGTTACACTTAATGTAAGAGAATAATAATAAATATTTATTTATTTAATTTTTCAAATGTGAACTGAACTTTATTGACTATAATGACTCCTTTTCCAGTCTTTGATTATTTAATTGTAAATAATTATTTGCATGCAATCAAAAACTACTTTTAATACATAATGCCAAAGAAGTATAACTTCTTACGCGCGTACATAAGTACACGCACCCTTTTTTCTGTATATGTATTGTTTTGTATGTGATATGAATTTAAATAGTTGCCGCATTGGTAGTATCTGTAATAGTAGTTTATTATGTTATAATAAAAATAACTTAATTCTTTTGAAGGACCCTGCTAAATATAAAAACTAACCTTAGTCGGGTCTAGCAAGTCCATAATTTTACATAATCATTCACTATTTTACCAACTACAAAATGAGAATTTTTAGAAATTTAAAGTACAACAATGATTATTTATTATTATTAAGTAGTTTAATTATTTATGGTCTAATATTTAGATAGTATTAACCACTGTTACCCGACATAAATTATATAATCTAATTATATATACAGAGAAATGTCAATAATAAGAATAGCTTTCACATGCATATTCTATAAGATTATCTTTTTGAAAAATACTAAATATTATGTTGATGATGTTATATTAGTTCTAAGAAACAAATTTGTCGAGAAGATGAAGAATATTCATATTTCAGATTCTGTTATTTGACGCAGCCTGCGTCCGACGACGCATAATTTTGTATTATACCTTGTTCAACACCAATAAAGTCAGTTGACTACTATTAAAAATACAAAGAAACGCAACTAAACATATAACTCTAAATCATCATTTTATTATTTTTAATAGGAGATATAACGGGTTTTAAGAAGACCGAGGTACGTTAATTTTGACGACCAAATATATAATTGTTTATCTATATATATAAAAATGAAACCCGTTTTCAGTTGTCATGACATAACATGAAAACGGCTTGACCGATTTGTCTGATTCTTTTTTTATAATATTCCTTGAAGTACGAGGATGGTTCTTACGGAAAGAAAAATTAAAAAAAATTGAGTGAAAAAGTCTAAAAACAACACTTTTCTATATTCCCATACAAAATATTCGTAATAATACTTAAAAGTCAATTTGAACTTTAATACCATATCATAAAGTTCAAGTGTTAGTGGAGGGGTTCCGGGAAGGTAAATTTTAATTTTTTGACATAATGTATTTGTTGTCTTATCAACTTTCTTTTTTTTATCTTACTAGCTAGACCGGTGTCCCGAATAGCAGAATAAGTATTTAAAATAAAGAATCGACTGTTAGGCGGTACGATGTTCGCCAGGCCAGCTAGTTTAAAATATAAAAATTTGATTAACTTTCAAGAAACGGGGAAAAAACAGAAAATCGTCAGATTTGACTTTTGTTTCGTTTTTATGTTATATCTAAATATAATATTTAATTACCCTTTAACTATGGTATAATAAAAATTAAAAAGAGCAGTGTTGGCCTAGTGGCTTCAGCGTGCGACTCTCATACCTGAGGTCGTAAGTTCGATCCCCGGCTGTGCACCAATGTACTTTCTATGTGCGCATTTAACATTTGCTCCAACCAAAAGGTCGACGGCGAGTGAAACCTATTGCCAATTAGATAAAACCGACATGAAACTTAGACCCAAAAAGTCTGAGGCCAAGCCAAAGCGTCGCCACCTGATTTTACAATAAAAATTAAAATCAATATCATGACAAAAGATTCACTAAATCTGTAAATAAGATCTTTAGTAAAAGTTTAAATTATGACTGTTTTTCCATAGTTAAAATGAAACATGAATTATCAGACAGTGGAATCACTGTAAGTGCTGTAAATAAATCACTAGTAAGATATAGATTCCAAATTCCAAATGGACAAATAGTTTGGTCCTTTTAGTTTGTAAATAAACCCATAATTTGAAAACTATTTTGAAAGTTCGAGCGCCTCGCTCAAATCAGTTTTATTTCAATTTCGAACTATTTCGTAACAATTGCTTGACTTGAGTTTGAATTTATATTATGATGTAGCTATGTGCTTACGAGGCAAATTAAGTAGTTCTCAGTACGTAACAGTATACTTTGATGAAATTGCTTACAAATCAACACGATCAAATAAACAATGAGAACATTCATATGCATTATTATCGCTGATTCGTATATTGTTGGTTTTAATTTCGTAATAGGTTTTAAGTAGAAAACAATAAGTTGCACGTATTTGTTCTTTTACGCTACGAGTACGTGTTAAATCCATTTATTTTAAATAAAGAGTATATGGTATGTTTGTAATATATTATTTCTATAACTTTTACCTGGTTTTGTAGTTTAATATTGAACGATATAAAATTAGATATATATCTATGTATTTCAATCCTTCAGTCATTGGCTTTTATTTCGAGGGGGTGAGGTTAGGGGGGTGTCTTTGACATTTTCGTATAGAGACTCCAAAATCGAGTAGAGGAAAAATCTTACTAGTCCAGGTTCTGAATCGAAAAAAATTCTACGGCCCGCCGAAACCACCTAGCGAGATCAGGTTGGTGGCACTTTGGTAAAGTAGAAGTTTTAGTCCAAAAAACGCAAAATAAGATGACCGCCATATTTGATATATATATATAAATATATAGACGGACAGGGTTCCCGAACAAATTTGATCAGCTATATGGGGTGGGTAGAATGGTGTTCTATTTGGCCAAAACATAAACTGAATTGTTTGGAGTCGCCGGCGCTATGCTAGATATTCTGACTATGGTTTGGAACTTCTACCAGGTTGCGGAAAATATAAAAAAATATTTAAACTTAAACAAGAACTTTTTAGATTTGGAGAAATATAGCTATGTACACTTATGAACGCCAATATTTCAAGAAATAAAGATCTGCTTGCTACTTTCGATTACTTAATTACTAGTTTGTATTATTAATATTTATATTGCGTCTTTATTGCGTTCCATCGAAGTGTATTACAATACACAAAAGTCCAAATTTGTTCACCGTTTTCATGATAAATGTAATCACATAACAGGGACAATGTTGCGGTTTACCACAATCTTATCGGAGACACGCACATTATCCCACGAAAACTAAACTCCGTTCAACCTACAGTACGTATAATTATTGTTTCCCCTTCATGCGATAAGTTATTAAGATGGTAGTAAAAAACGTCATACCTTTGAAAACTAATGGTAACTGCAAGGTGTTTAAATACCTTATTTCCTTCCAATCTTAAAGTTGTTGCACCAAGTGGTAAAGTTGTAGGTGGAACTGTCAGTTTCTTATTCGCACAGCCTACTGTGATTAACGGAATGATACCACCAACTCGGTCGGTCACTACATGAGTCATTGCGCATAAGCAGGGCTGTGGACAAGTTTCGCGTACCATCTGAAAAGGCAATTTTTTTCATTATATTTAGAATATTAAAAAATCGTTTTTCATGTTAAATTCATAAAAGTATCAGTCGAACCCAAGTAACTCATATTTAATAACAAAGTTTGTTTTAGAAGTTTTACTACTTTGGCGTAACTAGATAAAAAAAATTATTATCTAGTTACGCCTAAGAAGTAAAACTTCAAAAATATATTTTGTTTTATAAAAATTTTCACGGTCACTAGATGAGTGAGTCATTGCGCATAAGCAGGGCAAGTTTCGCGTACCATCTGAAAAGGGATTTTTTTTCCCTTTAAATTCATAAAAGTATTAGTCGACCTCAAGTAACTCATATTTAATAACAAAGTGTTAAAAATATGTTTTTGAAGTTTTACTACTTTGCGTTGCGTTGCAACTAAAGAATAATTTAAAAAAATATTTAGTTACGCCAAAGAAGTAAAACTTCAAAAACATATATAAATTTATTAAAAAAAAATTATCGTTCGCCTTATTCTACGTTTGTAGACAAAACGACACTAACAATAGAAACGCGTGTAAGTACACACACATGTTTTTTTTTTCTTTTTTGGCAAAACTTAAACTAATTTACGAATACCTACACTGTAAAAGACTCTGTTAAAGACTACAAAGAAGGATAGGTCCTTAAATGATTGTCCTATAACATAATTATTGTAAGTGTAAGATAGTTTTGAGGTGACGAAATCCATGTAAAAAACCTGCTTATACTACCCGGGTTTATAAACAGTAAACAATTTCATGTTTGAAAATTAATAAGTAGCTAAACAGACGTAGATAATATAATTATACATATATAGAGATATAATTTACCACTCAAACTCGGTAACAAGTTTAATTACTCAATTTTATTTGAATCTACGTCTAAGTTTTATTTCATATTCGGAGACAACAAAGAAGTGAAGAGGTTGAACAACATCTAGTATTTTTTGTTCGCGCGCTCTTATTTGCTTATGCAATTTTGAATTAAAATAACTGTTAATTAATTCACTTATTCTATTACTCAAAACAAAATGAATTTATAACTTATTATAATACAAGTTTATGCAACCTGCCTGGATAATTGTTTGTGCCTGGATTATTGCAAAGCAAGCATTATAACACGAAGCATTGTGCTGTTTATGGAGTGTTACTGGTCTACCTACTTGTTTGATCGAGGGGATACAACATAGAATATAGCAGCTTATTTAGTACTACTAAGCCTACCTATCTAGACAAGGAAGAAGAGACGTTGGTGAAAAAGAATATTACTTCAGAATGTCCCACGGACTAGTTTGCTAAAAAAATTGAAGGCAGACTATGGTGACTTATTTAAAAACTTTACCAGAACTGAGGAAGTTGAGGTCTTTTTTTTAAATTTATTTTTATTGTTTTTTTAGTTTTTTAATTCTAAATATTTTTCGTTACACTACTTCATGACCGATAATTCTCACTTTCCGAAACAAATACAAACAACAACATAACCTACAAACTGTTTTGACGCACGAAAAATGTCACATAGAATCCATTGTGCCCGGATTCAAGCTGCGACAGTCTGCCACATGACGCACGGTTCTTGCCACATTTTTAAATTTGTAGCATGCGGACTTGTAGCATGCCGTAATGCCGCACAGTGTTGACATAACAAGATAATTAGAACAATGTATTGAGAAAAATCGATTGGGTTGTTATAGGGTTAGCCGAAATAAAAAAGATGGGTTAAAAAGATGGATTCTTCAATTTTATATGCAGATCCAGAATTTGAAGATTATATCATCTACATAACACTACTAATAATATAGAATCTATATACTAATATTAAAATATTAAGTAATATTAACTCCCATCACACCGATCGCAGAATGCAGAGATGTTGTCTGCTGCTAGCATCCCCAAAGATGCGTCTAAGATCAGTTAAAAAGACGGTAATGATCTTACCTTAAGACTAGTGGACAGCATATATCCAAAACCTTCACGAGAATTCGAAAGCATTAGACAATAGTTTGGAAAACAAAATATATGTACAACACGTAACGACAAATTACAAGAATTAACTTCAGCAAGCCTTAAATTAGAAAATAATGCAATACATATACAAAACCCAACAAAAAATATGTACTCAGTAAAGAAAAATAAAACGGACGTAACGAAAGCCCAAATCAGATACATATGGAAACTACCCTATAAAGCAATCAGGTAGGACTAAGTACAGAAAGAAAGTAATCGAGAAAAATCTGGTAACTTCCAGAAGTGCATCATATAAGGAACTAAATACACACAAGAAATGGATACAGAGCCTAGTAAACAGTCAGAAGAAAGCTATAAATAAGAAAGACATCCTTGAACTTGCAACCAACTTTTATCAAGAACTTCATAATAAACAACCAGATAACACAATAACCTAGGAAGACAACACATGTCAACCCATCAAAATATGTATGTAGTTATAAAGATCTTGCCCATAAGGGCGAAATATTGCATCACATAAAAACTCTAAAGTCAGGCAAAAGCTCAGGACCAGATAACATAAGATTGGAGCATCCTGATCACATGTCTGATAATACTTTTTAAAATGGTAATAGCATAGAACAAGAAGTGCCAAAACAAGGGTGCCTATCAAATATAGCGTCGATGTATAAGAAAGGCGCGACACACTAAACATTGAGAATTACAATCAATTTGTTTTCATCAATAACACTAAGCCAAATAGTACCAAAAATTTACAACAACCAACCAGTAGAACAAGCTGGTTTTCGCCCAGGAGATTCTATCATCGACTATAACACTATTGAACAAATCATAGAAAAATACTAGGAATTCAACAAACAGGTCTAAATAGTATTTGTAGACTATTCGAAAGCGTTCGACAGTGTAACTCATACATCTTTATGGAAAGCTCTGAAAAATAATAAATACATAATATTAGAATTAGTAGAATAAAGCTAGAAAACAAAGGCCGAAAAATTCAAATTGAATAAGGTGACCCAATTTCGACAAATAATATATAGCAGTGCTTAAAGCCGTATTCCAAGGTATAGAATGGAAAAATAACAGCCTCTAGATACGAAACAAACATCTAACTCACGTAAGATTTAGTTAATAACTATTTATTTAAAGAGATTTATTACGTATGAGGGTGTGCAGTTGTTTAATCAGTTGCCGTCTAAGGTTCGTAACATTAGCGTGATTAATCAGTCCAAAAGGGCATTAAAGATACACATCAGAATGAGCCCATTAGTCTAAAATTGGGCTAGCTGATGGCAACGTGTATCTCGTTCGTATATAATATTAAATTTCTCATGTAAATAAAAAATAATTTTTGTAATGAGAAATAAAGTTCTTTAAACATTATACATTATATTAAGAAAAGCAAGTATCTTTCGACAAGAATAGCAGTTAAAACTCCACGAGGAAATTCTGATAGAAAACTACAGTCTTTAACTACAACTCAAGAAGATAATTATGGATAAAAATATTCAACCTTATCTGACATACGCAAGTCATACGTGGGATTTCAGCAAGAAAAAAAATCCTGTCTTGCCAGCATGCAATATAAGGAAGCATCTTAAAATTGAGGAGAGTAACCAAAAAAGAAGTGTTGATATTCGTAACAAAACAAAACTTCCAGATGCACTTGTACACGCTCTAAGGCTTAAATGGAAATGGTCAGGTCATATATCTAGAGCGCGGGATAAAATATGGACACTTGAAACCACAAAATGAACTGGACCTACCGGAAAGACGATGATGATAGACGCGTAGGACGACATAAGAGAATATGGACAGGTGGCGTTATAGAAGTAGCAGGGAAAAACTGGATGAATGTTGCTCAAGACAAAGAGAAAAATGGGATTCAACCCGGGTTCTTTTAACCCGCACAAATTCAAACACTAGAACAGTAACAAAACTTATCTTAATTTTTAGAACTTATACTAATTAGAAATATATGTTAAACAGTATAAAATTAATACAAAAAAATTAGAAATTCGATAAACTCGAATAATATTCACAGAATGTAAATGTGAGCGGAACACTAAATGTATATCGTCTAAATAAGAAAAGTAGCCCGGTAGCTCCTTCGCCCTAAAGCGTAATCTACCAGAATTCTGGGAGGCTTCCATTTTTTTGTTTAGTTTAGAAACTAATGAGACTCTGTTATTCTGTACTTTAGTACTCTGCTTATACCATAAATACCACATTAAAACTCCTTTGTATTTCGTTGCATCCACTATAAAAAAAACGTAGGTAGGATTAATAAGTGTCATATGACATCTTATCAGGTATCGTTGACTATGGCACACAATACTCAGTAATCGCGGTAGGTTTGTTTATGGTATCGTAATACGAGGTCTGTAATGTAAACAGAATATTTATGAAGAATTGTATATGCAAAGATATATTCGACGACTGTCGAGTTTTCCATACAAATTACTTAATGAAATTGGCATGATTTGAATCTGATTCAATATGTTTGAACTAGACCAAGAAAAAGCGACCTAATGGTAATAAATTCAACAAAATTGTTGTCTATAGCTACCGCCTACGAATCCATTCAAATTACCATAGATTTCATTCACTGTGCTGAGTGCCCATCTCATTATTATGCATTATGTATACACGCAAAGTCAATGGTCAGTCACGTATAATGTGTGTATTACAAATATCACATGATACAAATTGATAAAAAAGAGTATTTAAATTCAGAAAAATATTCATCAAGAATGTTCGCGAACCCATATGTCGACCAAATGTTAACAGATTTTCTAACTCTTTGTTTTTTTAAATGACCAAAACGGTCATATTATTCTGTAACATCTGGCAACCAAGTTTAACACCTCCATTTCTTGCACAGATGGACAGAACAATGAAAAATTGTAACGTAGATGTTTTATTGCTAATTATAACCGTTTCATTCCATTGTTTTATCTGCATAGGTAAACAGATGAATATTATCTGTTGGCATTCGCTATAGACGTCAATAAACTTAACAATAGAACGGTTTACTTGGAAGTTCAAAGTTCTTTTTTATTCGTTTAACAGAAATGTTTTGGTTGAAAAAAAAAGTTTATATAAAACCCTTTCAACCCTACCTCTTATGGAGCATGGGTAAAAACATATTTCCATGCCTATTTTATTGATCATTTCTTGCAGATTAACTTTCATGCCACACTGAAATAATGTTTGGTTTTATTTTATTTACACTTCGTTGCAATAAAAATAAAAGAAACACAAACTACATAATACATAAAAATTATAAGGGATGCAACGGGCGGCCTTATCGCTAATAAGCGATCTCTTCCAGGCAACCCTAGTTAAAGAAAAAAACTAAAAAAAAAGAAACATGATGAGTGCGAGAAGTGGATAACCAAATGTTGTATAAAAAAAATATATTTATAACTATATCCAATAATTATTTTTATATATCCAAGAATTTAACTCAACGCCTCCATACTATCCTGTAGCTGTGTAAATATTTATTTTTTTTGCATAGGTTTACAAGTGTTTTAATACCTAGGTAACATTATCTGTTCTCATTAATAACGATTTGCACCTAACCCATTTGTCCAAAGTAAATTATCATATTTCATCATATTAAAATTTCGTAAAGAGAATTTTTAGCCCTTTAAGGTGTTGTCATTGGAGCATCGTTGAAAAATCATTGTGAATTACTTTGATGGACTCAACATTTTAACAAAAAAAATATTTTCGTGTACAGGAGATGTCCTAGGCGTCCCATCATCCCATTAGTCCCTCCTTTCAGAAGAATGCGTTTTGGCCAAAACTTACTGATTGAGCATTCTGATAAACGAGCTAGGTCTATCCATAGTTGCTCCCCACTTCAAAATCTGTTATGTTTGCCTATAAGTGTCTGTCACAATAAATCTTTTATTTTATATTTCTTAAGTACCAATGCATCAGTGTGCCGAGCGTTGATAAGTTTTTGTATAATTAAGGCATAAAAATCTCCCTAAATCGATGAACAGAAACAAGACACTTGCAAAACAACTCAAATGTACAAAATTCTTAGAATAAAAATATATACTAAGACAACTTATTGTTTAATCAGATATCATTTAATCATACGCATAATTTGTATTTACTTAACTACAAAGTAATAATAAGAATTATTGAAAAGAAAATTAAAAAAAAAAAGTTTGGTCCCCGCTTTAACGCTGGCAGCATTTCCTCGCTATATTGCGATACTTATTCGTTGAGCCAGGAAAGCACCAGCTCTGGGGTCACTGGTACTATCTACCAGGCGCCAACTTAAATCTTTATTAAGCGCCTGTCACTTGAACCCAAGAGTCTCTACTCCAAAGGGAACAAAATCGAAGTTGGTGGAAAGACTCTTATAATTGTGCAGTATTTAGACAAATTATTTGTATATAATCTTTTAAAAGATCTTACTTTTATGATATCCATGACTTTGTGTAAAGGCTTTCCTCTGTAAAGCTGTTGATGACACACCAGTAGATAATAATCACCAATCATTCGTTTTATGGTACCATTCTCGTGTTCCATGGCAAGCCAATCGAGACCACCATCACTGCAATCCCACTTGTTATCTAGAATATAAAACTTTTTAATTTGTCTTAAGCAATTAATATCGATATTTCAAACCGAATTTTGCCTTTGAAATTATTAAATATTTTTTATATTTACTTTTTTTTTTAATTAAAGGTAAATGTTTCTACCACGGGTTTATTAGCAACCTTATACATTCCAAAACCTTAACTTTAATAGATACTAAGGACGTATTTTCAGTTTACGAAATGCCTTAGATAGGCCATGGATACAACTTACACCCACATTCAATGAAAAATTGTTTGAGATAGAGTAACGTACACTGATTATACAGTAACGATAATTAGGTTAATAAACTGTTAGAATAACTAATTAATTGCTACACGCCTTCAAGTCTCATAAGGCCTCTATATTTTTGGCTAAGGAAAAAATATGATAATTCTATAGGGAAAATATATCACCGGGGAAATTAATTGAAGATGACAGACGCGTACTATTGACGCTAATAAAATATGATTTTTGGACCTGGATACGTCTAATTATCTGATCCCAAAGAAGGCAATATTCAAAATAATTTACACACAATCATTGTGAATGTCCTGCCATTTATAAACGATCTATTCCTGGGATTACAAATACGATGCCCATATACTTTAACATTTAAAAATACTAGGAAAATAACATTTAGACAAATTTATGGTGAAATTGGCACTTGACAGGTGTAATCGACGGTAAAACTACAATGAGTAGTGTCAAATATTTTTGTAGCGGCACCCAGGAGTCATAAGCAAAATTTAATTTTTCGCGTTTCAATAGAATTCATATTCTGCCAAGAACTAAGGTAGCGTGTATAAAAACAACCAAAAGTATGTCCCGAGGTTCCCAGAGCCCAATACTCTATTCCACTTAACAAATAACAATTAAATTTCTTTGTTGAAAATAATATTATGTTGTATACATAATACACTTAAACAATTAGAGCTGAGATGCATAATATAAAGGAATTCGGTAGTTGCATAGAATGTTTTTAACGTAAATGTTATGCGATAAATAACGAAAATATACGATATTAACCACGCAAGATTTCCAATCATCCACCAGCTTTAAAAGGGGCCAGTAATATATACTACAGGTTAAATATATCAAATATCAAACACCCAAAGAAAAATACTAACAAAAATTATATTTTTTTTGGGCAAACAGAACAATAGTTTCTTTCAGGTTACATTAAATCAATCACCTCACAATTTCACTTGTAAGCAACAAAAATGCGTATTTTAATATAATAATTAATATATTTATGTATGAGCTGTGATGTGATGTGTGTTAAGATACCTTAATGTTATTGTCCTACGATATGATTATTTAATGTATTAAATCTATGTTACTCACTTACTCACGATTTGTTTTAACATGTATTGTTCACTGCAGACTACAAAGCACGGTAAACATTAAGCATTTTTACTATTGTGATATTCAGACGGGTACTTAAAGAAAGTGTTAAAAAAATAAAAAATCTATACATATATTGCTAAGTGTAGACAGATAACGCACCACTTAAGTAGACCTTTTCTAATTTTTTTGGCCCTTTTAATAGCGGTGCTTTTAAGTGTCTAAGCACATTGCTTCGGAAGTCAATAACTTTAAGTTGTGACATTTGTGAAACCATTTCTGCTGGAACTTCCCATAGCGATGTCAAACCGTGCACTGAGAGCTTCTGCAAAGGAAGATATTATTAATACCCACATGAAAAACTTCTGGAAGGGGAACCGCTTCTAGAGTAGTTATGGGGGTCAAAATGAAATAAGAATGGCTTAAATGTATATTATATATATGTTTTGTCAGTGTCGAGACTGAGGCGTTTTTGACAAGAATATATTAATAAACGGGGAAATATCTCATGATATTTTATTACATACATATATTATTACTAGCTGGCCCCGCGAACTGCCAAGCATACCTTTTTAGTACATACCAACATGGAACATTTTGCTACGCTACCTCAGAGACTGTTCGTTACTGGAATGAAAACTAAGTAGAGGGTAGATGAAAATTAAGGGTTGTATGTATTTTTGTATCCTATATCATAAAAAAAATAAAAACAAAAAATATTGCCAAAAAAAAATTTCTTAGGGGTTTCAAAGATAGTAGCCAATTCTCAGACAGAATATGAATAACAATTTCATAAGAATCGGTCGAACCGTTGTGGAGGAGTAGTAGGAACGAACATTGTGACACTAGTATATATATACACTACTACGTATTCTATATAGAGATTTTTACGGAGTTCTGTTGGATTATTAACTAACTAAAGGATACTAAGTAATACAATGTTGACCTATATGCTATATAAATTTATGAACAGTGAAGTTTTCTGTTTAAATATAGCTGGAACAACAAACTCAAGCTCAAGTATAAATTAATAACCTCGATGGTTTATCACCTAATACTATGTAATATATTCCCCCTTTAAAATATTATAGAACGTGTTTTACACCTAATCACATTTATTTTTATATTAAAAGGATATCAGTGCCAATATGCATATTAAAGTAAAAGTAAAAGGAAAACGTTAATAATTAAGACGTCCAGTTTTCCATACAAACAAATTGAGGTAAAATGAGTCAATAAATTTAACACCCTTGCAAATTCATTCATATAATTCTAGACATCGGTGAAAAAGGGCAATGCCGCGCATTGGCGTGCTAGTTCGGTAGGTTCAAAAGCATACCATCAGTTGTGACGTAAATAATATTATAGCTTAGTTCACTTGTGTCCAAATTATGACAATAAAGATTAATAAGATGCGATTGTTTACTTTTTTAGATGTTCAGAAGTGTCGTATGAATATTTCTATAAAACTTAACTATATCTAATGTGTGCCGTGTAATCTACACATGATAAATATATCTTTGTAATACATTCAATAGGTTTACTTTCTATTAAATTGGGTTAATTTACGTTATTTAACTTAATGTAAAAACTAAAAACCATACATATCTAGCATCATATTATGTACTTTGTGAAAAAGCAGCGCGCGTCAAGCCATGAACTAAAGCTGTCGGCGACATCAAAGAATTCAAAGTCGGTACATTGTTCAAATTTGTTTTAATAATATAACCTTCCATAACAAAAGAATCGTTCTGCTTTATGTTGTATGTACGAAGATTATTTTGTGTATGGAAATTATTATTTTATGATGTACCTACTAATAATAATTTCGAGCTTAGTTCCTAGTTTTTTTTAATATGATGATAACTACGCGAATTTAGGTTTTTTTTCTGTTTTATAACCGAGGAGAAAATACTAATTGCGTAATCCCCGCAATTAAAAAGCTACGGGGATATGTGGGACTTGACTTTGACCAGGCATCCTCTCTGCTACTCGATTGCATCCTGCCCTGCCGCAAATGGAAACTCCCCAGGAGTCGCTTTCACATTCTACCGGTGAATTTAGCCTGTAGTTTTATATATTCGTGATGTTCTACTTGAACCTATGACAATATATTCTTGTCTAGCTTCAAATAATTTATGATTATCTTTCTCTGACTTTTCTAATATACTTGGGTTTCCAAAATGATTAATCACAAATGCTGGTTTCAAACTGTCTATTGACAAGTTGGAAGCCTTGCCGTCGTACCAAGAGCTTTTAAACTTCACACTTTCTCTAAAAATCTTAAGTAGTGCCTTTTAAACCTGCCTTATGTTCAAACTGAAACTGATTTACATTTTTGTTTAAAAGTAGTAAAATGAGAAAAAGTTGAAGTGCTGTGCAAATTTGTTAAAAGTTCAAATAAAATCGTTTGTCAAATGGAAGAGACTAGCCGCTCACGACACAGGGAAACCGAATGTGCTTATTCATATTATTATTTCTATAATGTAATAATAAGCAATTAACTGAAACAAATATCAATTAAGGCTTGTTTACATGCATTACCTCGTTTTCCGAGTTCCGAGATCATAATATTCATAACATCAGAATTTAGTAGTTTAATTGCTCTGTATTATTGAATTTTTTTTTTCATCTTCGGTGCATCTAAAGCACCTTAATTGGATCGACGGACTTTTGTTTCAGTCGCTGTTTCTATAAGTGAATTCATTATAGCGTCTTCCCTTGCCGGTTTTTCGGTTTACCAACATCACGATTTTGTCCCTAATCTCCATGTGGAGACTTTTAGCCACCATCGGTTCTTCGTACCATGTGTCCAGGCCATTTGAGCATATAAGCTCTCTCGGATATGTCAATATATCTGATTCAATCGCAAAGATAAAGATGTTTCTTTCTCTTTGCACAGCCTTCACCATTGCTCGTCAACCGACGCGTGGTGTGTGTTCAACTTTTTAGCGCAGACAGTCATCAATTGGTAAGATTCGAAGACTTTTGAGTGGAGTATTACTATTTATTAGTATAATATAGACTTAAGATTCTGACCATAATTACCAACATAACATTAATGAATGGTCCATGTGTTTATTTGCGTATGATAACTGTAATCTATTCTAATCACTTTCAAAAGATAAGCAATACCATTATAACTGATACAGCATTACTAACATTATACAAGATACGTTTCTAGTTTATGAAAGACAAAAAAAAATCGGTAAATTATAAAATTCCTATTTATATTTCTAAGTTGATAAATTAATAAACAATAGGGCAGACTCTATTCCTACCTATTATTTTTGTCGTGATTGTGTACATTGTTTATCGTTTATTTTTGTTATGAATCGGCTCCATCCCTGTAGTTCTTGCTAATCACTCTGTAGAGCCAGGTGTGGCTGGTACATGTAATTTGTTACGTATAAAACTAATAATATATATATATACCGTGTAAACTCTTTATAACGCAATTCGATATAAAAAACTCTCTATAACGTAAAATGAATTTATTTGGTTTAACCCAATACCTATACGTTAATTTTGTCTCCCAATAATAAAACCTCTCTATAACGACTAAAATACTCGGTACCTTGAAATTCGTTATAAAGAGTTTACACGGTATACGACTTGATGATGCTTGCAATTTCAAGACCCCTTATGAAACCGGAACATTACAAAATTATAAGAAACTATCTTACCTCAATTCTGCTTACTGCTGTGAAGCGTCCTTTAAGCTTGGTTATGAGCGTGCAGTTGTAAAAGCCTAATTCTCTCAAGTTAGGGTAATGATACTCCAAGCGATTCACGTTAAAACAAGTACCCGGCCAATCCACTACCTTTAAACTTCTTATTTCGTGCCTGTGGGAAAATTGGATGAGATTATAATATGAGATTATCTTATGAATTTAATATTATATATTGTATTAAAGTTCTTTTTTTTTCGATATTATCGTATTGGCTTAGTATTGTAAGGTTAATGTATGTATTTTTGTGAATAAATAACCGTTTGCAGTGGATTTTAAATTTATTTAAAAAAATATTATCTACTCGCTTTCGACAATATAGTCCATATTATGAACGTATTTTATAAAGGAGGAAATTTTTTAAAAGGCTTTAAAAAAGCATTCTTTTTCATCAGCTAAATGGAGCTATATAAAAAATAATCTTAATCATAATAAATAAATTATAAACAATAGCGGCACGTGTCAAATGTGAATATAATATAATGTGAATAGAAGTGAAAGTGAGTTCGCTTCGTTTGATTCAAATAACATTTATTGACCTACCATACTCCAGTCAACCAATCATTGGTGAACCCTCTAGTGCACACCAACTGGTGACCAGATTTAGAACACAGAGCTTTATTAGTCCCTGTCAGTGTACAACCTCTGGTGCCTAATGCTGTATGGTTTTGCTTCGAATGTGTATTCGGAGCGGCGATACCAATCATTAACGTTGTGAAGAGAATCCTTACAACTGAAAGTGTATTTTTTAAAATTAAAAGTATATGTTATCCAACAACACCCCCTTATAAAGTGTATTTAAAGATGCGAGCGTAAGACCAAGTCTTTTATTTAACTTGATTTAAGATATTTCTATCAGCATTTATATTGATTTACAATTTCATCAAATACTTTGATTATTGGTTGAAGAAAGCGTTGTCCACTTGACATCTAAGCGATTGTAAAGTTTTGTTGCTATATTCTAGAATAAATTTAGAATACAATTTGTCATTTTTTTGCTACATTGGTTGTTTTATCGAGTATCATCATTCCAATTTAAAAAATCATCACAAATCAAAATAGAATAATTTCTTAAAAACATAAGATTTGATTTCATTTGTTTAGAAAAGTAATAGTGAATGTTATTTTTTTTCTGTCGTTCTGGTTATGCGATATTTATATTACTAGGTAGGTAGTAAGGCAGTGTGTACACTACACTCGTTAATTGAAGTGATTCGTCGACGATCACCGTTCGTGACAAACTAATTTGTTTAGAACCATCATACCGACCTTCGCGGATATGTTAACTTCATCTTGTTGAGTTATCTAATTTACGAAACCAATAAACTCGAAAAAAAATTGGAATATTTTTGTTGTTTTTATATCTAAATCCTAATGTAATTTGCATTGATTAAAATAAAAAACGAAAATAACTGAACTTACTGGATCAGTGGTAGTCGTTAGACCATATTAGGGGTCGATTATAAAGTAATTAGAGATTTTTTTAAATTCGTCACTCAATTGTGAGTAAAAACGGTTTATTCACTGTCATTTGCTAACAAATAAAATTAGGCTTCGTAGCTGATATGAATCATTATCTGGACATAATTTAAAAAAGGAGGCTGTAAATTTTCGATCATCAAGGATCTGCCTCTGGAACTGCTCCGCGAACTTCGATTGCCTTTATGTCTTTTAAACTTAGCCTACCTTCTTAGGAGCTACATAACACCATATTATGGAACAATTTGCTAAGCTACCTCATAGAAACTGTTCTCTTTCCGAAATAAAAACCTAAGTACTAAATAAATTCATTGTCCAATTATTCTCTTCATAAAAGCCTTCCTCAGTATTCCTAAGAGTTCAATGAATAAAAAAAAACAAATTGTCGAATTGAATCAGCCGTATTGGAGTTTTGCGCTTAGCAACATATTTTGCGATTTTTTTTATTTTAGTTAATCTACGTTTACAAAATCGTGTAGTAAAGGTTTACTTGTAATATATATAGTAAATAAGTATAAATAGTAAAGTAAAATGGGAATTTGATGTTTATTGACAATAAATAAAATTTAAGATGTTTTTATGGCTGTATGGGAGAGAGCTTACTTTTATTAAATAGTAACCTACACAATTGTTGGTTTGTGCTTTATCTGGAAATTTTAAAGCGCTTCGTCTAAATAATACACTGGCAAAAATAAATATATTATGTTTTATAGTATTATGTAAAACTTAAAATATTTAGTACATGTGTATAAATAACACATAATTAATCCTAGATTTTTATTGAAGTGTAGATGCGAAAGTACTTAAACATATAATAACTCGTAAGCATATAATAAGTAGTCTGCCCTAATTTTGGTTGTTTAAAAAACAAAATAAAAAAACGCGGATAATTTTTTAAAAGGAATATAGATTTTTCTTATTCTGGAAAGAAAATGTTACTACACCAGTTATTTCAAGTTTTTATTGCCTTTAAGCTGGATTAAGGAAAATATAAAATGTTTTGGTATTAATGATTGCGGGTACGAATTGAATTAAATTTATCTGAAATACTTTTGAACATTAGCGATGCTAGCGTGAGTCAGATATTAATTTTCATTATTTTTCCATTTACCATAGTATGCAAAAACAACAAACGAAATATGAGATCTAACTTTGTCCTATTTAATTTACAAATACTCGCGCAAAAATGTCAAAGCCTCAGTCATCAGAATTATAGAACTATGTCCTACCAATGCCTATACATATTCTTAGGAAGTTTTCTCTGTAAAATTCAAAATGTAAAAATTTAGTTCATTTGGTTTATTCACACCAGTACACACTATACTTATTATAATTTAAATAGAAATCACTTACCAAAATACCTCATTATTATAATTTAAATAATTACTACATAAAGGCAGAAGGAGAAAAGAATAAAACGCGGAAAAACGAGTTTTCGGAAAAACGCCCGCGCGATCGACAGCCAACTCGCGACTGAAAACCCTGATGCTGAAGTTACCGAAATTATCAGGTAAACAAAGCTCAAAGAAAATGCGCAAAGATTTTCACGGTTTTATATCTCTCGAAACATTTTGTAATTGTGATCGCCGGTAATTGTTTATACCTAATTCGCCAATAGGCTATATTTATTAAAAATATATGTAAAATATATGTTATACACAACAATACATAATTAAATGGTTTAAATTATGTATTATATAAAAAATCTAGATTTTCTTAGTATGCAAATAGTCAGAAAATACATTATTGATTACTAATCTAAACAGTCGTGCTATGTAATATATCGCAATGCGCAAAGTTTTCTGAACATAAACCTATTATTATGATTTCAGTTAACTTCGGATAACCACTTCACCGTTTCTTATAATATATTCTTCTTATTTGACTTATATGTACTTAGTAGTTAAATAACGCTCATCTAGAAGCACATTGAAGTTTGACCATTTCATTGTTGACATGCCCAGTTGCCGCACTGCACGATTTGGATCGTCGTTTCTTGTAAAAACAGCAAAGAAGTGAAACTCCTTGCCCCCTTCCATCTTCCCTAGACAGTTTAATCATCAGCATCTCCTGAAAAGGCGGGCCTTCCAATAGGCCTTATCTAACTTAACATCGATTGTGGCAAAACGTCTGTCCAGATCTGTATAAAAATATAGATATAAATAGTTAAGAAACAGATCAAATTTCAAATTTTCAAAATCATTTATTCATATAGGTTAAACACAATGTACACTTATGAACGTCAAAAATATATATATATATATCAAGGGCGTAGAATGGAAGAGAATAACTGGAAACAAACTTCCCGGCACTCTTTTTAATCGCCAAGTTTTTTTGTTATACACAACATTTGTAAGGAGCTGCAACCATTACACCATGTTCCACGTGCCTATTATTAAAAGAAAGTTGTGAATTTTGTAAAGTGTCTCTGTGTATCTTTGTTTTGTGTATTTTTAAGTTCCGGATTGTATTAAAACATTTTTTAAATAGGTCACAGGTCAAATTTTCCATATATACACTCCGCGATTATGAAAAATACCAAATTAGTACTCTTAAAATAGGACAACAAAAATAAACTTAAATACATGACAATAATATAAGACTCTACTCGTAAATCTTTCTACAAGTATCGGGTTTTATAGACTGGTAACGGATATCGTTATCTAGTTACGATATTCAAGCTCGACTGCATGTTTGGACAAGTATTCGTACTTATCAGAAAAATGTGGATAATAGATTCAAAGGGCACTCTAAAAACCTTTGTAGTCTTATTAGTCATTGCATTTTTAAAATACCTTTGAAATAGATAAGAACAGAAATGTATGTATTAGTAAAGCGTAATGACACGTAATTATTACTTATTCTCTTATATTAGGAACAATAAAATATAATATAAACGTCGCTTGCTTCACATTTGTCACAATTAATCCAGAAATGTTACATAAGCTGTACTCAAGACTGACAGAACCTATTTTTATTTTCATACAGCACACTACGTACATATAATAAAAACTGATGAACCGAATTTATCTTTGACACAAAAGATTAACAATAACTGTGCTGTAAGCTCCTTGCCTTCTCCAGCACTTCTTACCAAACATGATGCCCCTCGTAATCGCAACCAACTCATCGAAAATAAAATTTGTGACGTAGATCTTAAAGGTGTCGCTCGCCTTTTGTTCTCCAACTACGTGCTATCACCAGATACCCCCGACTCCCTTCAGCCCTTACGGACAAAACATCCCCCCAGCTCCAGTAAACCTATATTTTCTCAACCCACCAACAGCAGGGCAAGCATGCATTCAAATTTAAAATAAAGATGTTACGGATGCCATTTAATTTTTTAAACCTGGTTCGGCTGCAGGATGGAATCTCACCCCAACATTTGAAAGACTTAACATCGCATTCTGTGGGTGATGCAGGCGATCAACTAGTAAATTTGATAACTAAATTAATCAACTTTATGTATTCCGGTAATGTCAATACATAAATTGTTCCCATTCTTTTCGTCGCGAACCTTATTGCCCTCACCAAAAAGGATGGAGGGGTGAGACCATTTGTTGTTGGTTCAACACTACGACGTCTGGCCTCCGAAATTGCTGTTCAACATATTTTACCAAAATTAAATTCGGAATTTAAACCCGTACAGTTAGGCTTCGGTGTCAAAGGAGGGTGTGAGGCAGCCGTCCATGCCCTACGCTCTTTCCTTACCTACGGACAGCCTGACGTGTCGCTCAAAATTGATGACAAAAATGCTTTTAATTCGGTTAATAGGGATACCCTGCTCACTGAAATTATACAACCTATACCGGAAATATACAATTATCTTCTTCTCAGTTACTCTGACCCAACAAAATTGTTATATCGTTCTATAAATCCAATAAAACAATGCGTGCCGAAAAACGTGTGGTTTTTGTTGCACACTCCCTCGAGAGGGGTGAGCTTTAGCCCGTTCGAGGTATATGCGCCCTTCAGGTGGTGTCTATGTTCGCGCCCTGATGATACAGGGCGGTACGGGGGCGGGCAGTATAGCCCTTGGTGAGGGTAACGCTCTCTCATTTGTACCAACTATCAACTACCGCCGACAAATATGTAAGTGTAAAAGTGTTGTGCTTAGTCAGTCAGTTAAGACTGCGGTCCGTGCACCTCGACGCATTCAGAAACAATGGGTGCCGATACAGTGGCGAACCGTCAGGCGGGTTTTTATACACCCGAAACTTAGTGGGGCAATGAGCTCTTGTGCACGTGCATTGCAGGTGCGGTTACAGGTGCGGGTACAGGTGCGTGTTCAGGTGCGTGTGCACGTGTCGATAGCGCTCGATAACGCTGTCTCATTTGTACCAATCTTCAACTACCGCCGACATATATATTAAACAATATGAAGTAAGTGTTTTTTTAAATAGACCCTCACCACCAGACCTCAGTCCCCTTAAAAGATTGGAACCATCCAACAGTAGGTTAGGTATATTTATTGTTGTTTTTTTAAACCCGTAGGCTAGGTTAGGTATAATTTTTTATTTTTCATTTAGAGCCATAGATTAGGTTAGTGAAAGTAGGAAAGTAGATAACTATAACGATGCATTCGAACTGAGTCAGTCATTAGATAATGATTGGAAATTTCGTGCAGGAAATAGTAGCTGATAAGATGGTGATAAGTAATTAGCTAGGGTTTAGAAAAAGCTATCTCTGAAATGGTAAGAGATATCACTTCAATTAAAATATTCAATCGGACCGACGCTGCGTTGGTGGCATAGAGTTGTTAAAGACCTTGAAAAAATAGGAGTTCGAATTTGGACGCGAGAAGCACTGGATAGATTGCGATGGCGAAGTGTACGTGTAATCGCATTATTTCATCTAGCGCTTTATCAATTATAATCTCTAGTCGCCCATAGCACTGATCTAGTGCGTTCATAATAAGCTCGGGATCGCAAGCAGTACTCAATAATACGGCAACTGTTTCTTTAGCGGCTCTCGTAAGAGATGTACGTAATCTTGTTATATTTTCCGTGGAGTCTTCATAAGCAACTTTAAAGTAAAGCCAGTCGCAAACATTCCCGTTAAACTGCGGCAGATCTGGAGCATGTAGTACAGGGGGTCTGTTTGTAGCTATTTTTTCAAAGGCTCCGATGAGCCGTTCCATCGATCTTGGGATCGCGTTCTCGGCACGGAGGCCTCTTCGATAGGTGATATGGGCCGCTCTATTTCCCAAGACATATTCTGTATGCATGGCTTCACGCGTTCTGCAAGCACTGTGTGTTCTTCCCTATCACCCTGAGATAGATTATTCTCGCCGCCATGCTTTCTTAGCCGTTTGTCTACCATAACAGTGGAATTGGTCCCGTTCCGCTGTTCGGGCAAGCATTTGACGATAGTCTTTTCACCGTCTGCTCTGGCTAAGTCAACGGCGATTAGCTTCTTTAACAATTTCATTTCTAGCTCCATCTCTTGTTCCATCTCCTGCTTCTTAAATTCGAACTTTTTTCTTAAATATTCTTTTTCTTAATGCGACCAAGCGTTTTTGGACTTCGTATTCAGCTTGCCTTACACGGGATGCTTTCGACCTCATCATATTTCTAGAGGTCTGTGATGCTAAACCCACAGGTAACAACGTAGAATCAACGGCTTCATTCCTCCGTATTGATTCAACTGACTCCCTGTCGTGTGTAATATCGGCTAGTCTTCGTTGTAGTACTTTCGATGGTGATTCTAACGGCATGCATTCTGTCCGTACATCTTCATCGATTTCTTCTGCCCTCTTAGCTTGTCGGCTTCTTGTGTTCATTTTGAAGTCGATTGTATACTTCGCTTCGATGAACTGATGGACAATGCTTTCCTTCGGCGGCCCACAGCAGCAACGTGTCGATGCGGTGACTCACTTTGTACAGGCAATGAAGTCAACCATCTGCACGTACTCCTAGGATCGCAGGTAGTACTGCCGATGAAAATCTTCCTGGGATCGCAGGTAAAATCTTCCTTCTTCTCGGCGTCGATGCGTAGAGTATTCTTCTTCTGGTTATCCGGCTCGAAGGACCAAACTATAAGCGTCACTGTCGATCTGAACCACCGCTGCTATTCTCGAAATGAAATTTCAAAGTGGAGTTATAAATGTTCCGTTTATTGGTCGACCGTTAGTAATGGTGACTCAAAATAATATAGCGAAGCAAGCTTATAACTAACGTCCGTCCGGCACGGCTGCTTAAATCTATCTGAAGCTATACAAATAATAACTTAAAACTAAACCTAAACTACCACGCTGGTACAAGGGACCGACCGACCCTTCCGCTACCTGCGCACCCGCCGACCGTTTCCCAGAACAACATCTGGCTGGCAGTTTCGTTCGTCAGCTTTCTAAACTGCATTGTTCTTTGTCCGTAACAATGATGTGATGTGAATAGTTTTTTGCGTCCTGGAGTTGATATTTTATAAGTCACAGAATTAATAATGAGGTGTAATATTATAAAGAAAGGCACTCGTATTCCCGTAAAGAAAGTCCCTAATGTCGGCTGTCGAAAGAAAGTAAGTAGTCATTTATATTCATAGTTCTCAGCCGGTATAGACCCGTTAGGACTATAACCTTTTAAACAACTACATAAATTGAATGTAAAGTGTTCATTCAGTATGGATCAGATATACGGTACATAGAATAAATGTTTATCCATTGATAATTATTCGTAAATATTTAAAATAATGCCTTAATCTACAAAGAACACAAAAAGTCTATAGTCGTATTTTTAATTAGACGAAGCCAACTGACAGTAGCTAAAGTCACTTTGTAAAATAATGTTGCCATATTTAAAGTAATAGTGATACGTTCAGTTCTTGTTCAATCAGATGAATGAACAATGAGTGTGAATAGTTAATCATTTCAAACTATAAAATAATATTATTTCTATTTTAAAATTGTATAAAAGTGCTCTGATATAAGTAAGGTACTAGTAGTATGTAACTACAATCAGTTTTTTGACGGCTTATTACAAAGCGCGGCGTGGTGACTAGTGCCATCACCGATCATTAATTCAGGAGTTTTTTCAATCATTCACTTTGTCACAACACTATTTTTATTTAATTAAAAACTGACAACACCATAAACGTCAGTTGACTTCGTCTAATTAAAAATACGACTATAGTTTAAAACCGTTTACCTGCTTGTTTTATTTAGAAAACTGGTGTTTTTTGACCCTGTAAGTATCGATAGATACAAAATATTGCAGAAATAGCATTACTAAGACGATAAATAGCTATGAATACAATTATTAAAAAATATATAAGATTGTGTGTTAAAAGCCGTGACATTAATAATATATCAAAAGTTTTTGACGTGACTGTACGCTCGAAAAGGCATGACTCATTGTCAAGTTCCATCTGAGCCGAGCGTGCAAGCGAGAGCGTTTGGCTTGTGATGCATTTATCTCTTACTTGTAATTTATGTATAAAATTTAAGTAAAAAAATATTTTTGAATTAACGAGTGCAAATATATGATAATTTATCAAAAAAAAAATTTCAATTACCTACTTCTTTGTGTTATTCAAATTAATGATAATTTAGTGACACTAATTCAATTAAATTCATAAAAGTATGTAATTTTTCAACAATGTTTTCTTATGACTTTATTACGTAATATTATCCTCCGTAAACCGATTTAACAGACGTTATTAACTTCCACAAAGCAAGTATTGAAGCGGACTCACACACTAACGTTATACCAAAAACTTTCAATATATATATATATATATATATATATATATATATATCCTGCATGTGACAACACAGTTGGCACTGTAATAATCGAAAAGCACTAAAAAGTACTAAAAAATGCTTACTTAATACTTAGTAGTACTTACTTGCAATTTGCACGTCACACGTGCTATATGCCGGCCGGCCGCGCTGGCCCGCAGAACCCTCGAGTTGTACGAAAAAAAGGAATCATCATTTTTTTTATTTAGTTCGGTATTTATCTTGGTTGAGGGTGGATGTGTTGCAAACGATTACAACGTTGAACGTTCCGACAGTTCAAACTGTGTTGTGTTTCCTAGTGCTACAAACGTGTATTGTTGTGATTACTTTAATTGCCTTCGATATTTATCAAGTAAGTGAAATATAATGACGTATAGTAGATAGAGTAAAATGGTAAAATATCAGGATATCAAAAATAGTTTTTATTAATATTGTTATTACTTATTGACTCACTTTTAAAAGTTTAATGAATAGTATAAGAGTGGAAATTTAATATGATGTAGATCTGTTAGCTTCATTCTTTTAAAATTAATTTCTATAAAAAAATTTTAGGAATGGTTATAACGTATTATACATTTTTAGAAAGCCTTGGTATGCAGATTTTATCACAAATATAAAATAGTAGGTCTTCTGATTATATTTAAAAATAATTTAGTGTTTTAGTTCTTAAACCTCTAGCATTTTGGTAATACAGACTTAAATTAAATATTCTAGTAATATTCGTTTGTTGGTGGTTACAATCGATTTTGTTTATTTTTTTTTTTTTAATTTATTTATTAGCCGGATACAAAGTCCATTGGCACAAAGGGATTTTGTTTCATTGTGTGGGGTGCCCTACTGTTCAACATATAATATATATTTGTAAAACAACCCAAGCGTGCTTATGATAAGCAACTTAATATATCTATGGTTTTTACATGGAGGAAGTTTGATTCTGCGTTTTTTTCGAATGAAAATACGGCCGTTGCGCAACCATACGTAGCTGTATTTCAGTTATTTTGCTTTCTGCCTGGCAGCGGCATGTATCACCTTATTTTCAGGCGTTAAGTGCTCAACCACATAGACAGCAGACTTCGCAATGCCACCAATGCCCAAGTGGCTAGTGTTATGTGGTCCCCATTGTATTGTTAATCTTTCTATTGTTATTTACCTAATTATTATTTATTTACCTTATATAAGTTTAACCATTTGTTTACGTAGTGATAAGTAATAATTAATTACTTAAAGACATTGTTTGTTCCCCTAATGTAACCCTACTCCTACCCAAACCTATAAATATCAAATCCCGATCCTTTCAAAGTCACTTCTATTCCATATTCGTTTAAAAACTTTTAAAAAGTTCCTTTTTAGACGAAAGCCTCAAACAAACAAGAAATAAAAACTTTTTGTTGTCGTTTGACACCTGTTAAAAGCTACTTTTTCACTCTATAATACGGCAAAATCGAGTTGACATGATGTATGCTCTTACACTGTCCCGTTGTAGAACAACATTTATTTGCCGAGTTTTATTTTCGTTCACCATTCTCTTGCTATTCGCGTATGTTATTCCTAGTGCAATTATACTATCGATTACGTGGACAAACGACTATAGATTTACTCGAGATTAAAATCATGGAATAGATTATTCTTGGTATAGTTACTCGTGTATAAATTGAAGTTTGGTCGAATCGACCCTAGGGGGACTATAGGCGCACTTAGACTGCTCTGACTAACACGAGCTAGACACAGTCGGATTTATAGAGCAAACTACGAACTCTCCCTAGTGTTGGCTAGCTAATCTCAAGTCCACGAAATCGACGACTTACCAAAAACTTTGACAAAGCCAACAAAAATAATGGCCCAAAATTTGCTTACCACATATCTTTTACTGGACTTTATTTTTGTCGGTTTTAATGAACGGGTTGCCATTTTGTATCGGAGTTCCATAGATTTTGGGAAAAATAGAATTTGAATTCAAAGAAATTATAAATGATCTTGATAAATACCTATGAAATGCATGAAAAAAATAATACACATATTATGGTATATTGTTGTTTATTTATATTATTTATGTAATTGTTCAAACCCCATTTTTGAGAAATCTTAAAAATAACTGGTGTGATTTTGTATGTCACCTGGCAGCCCTGGCAATTGGCATATATAGGAAACGAAATTCAAACTATAACCTAACCAAAACATTGCGACCGTTCTACGAAAAAATATGTCACTTAAATAATTAATACATTTTCTAAAGGTTACTCGTGAATTTCTAGTTATTGCAAAATAAAATAAATGAATACATAAATAACAATAAATTGAAGAATATGTACCGTTTAGATTTTTAAATATTTGTTATTGTTAACTTTTTAAAGGAAAAAACAAAGATTGCAGAAATGAAACACAATTGTATTTTGACATTTTCTGTCTTAGCTGGGCTTAGCTTAATCTCACCGTAAAATGTCTATAAATACGAAATCATAGTTTAACCTTAGTGTACACTAAGCAAAGTTTTCGTAAGGTAGTTGAGAAAGTCCAAGTGGATATAGATCTCACCCTAAATATTACAAGTGTTCTATTATATTTATATCCTATTTTTAAAGGCCTACGTGATCGTTCTGCTGATACATTGTTCTCACACTCTACAAGGAAACATTACTTAGTAAGAACTAAGAGTGGTTCGTAGAATCATGTAACAGCATTTCGGCTAATGAAATATAAAGGATCTTTGTACTGCTATGTTGCAAGGGTTTTTGTTTACATAAAATATAAATATCCTATGGTGGTGACACACGGGGTTATATAACTAGGTTGTAGGTATTTGTTTTGGAAACTGAGAACAATCGGCCATGAAGCGGTGTAAGTTGTAACGAAAAATATTTAGCCTTAAAAAAATAAAAAGTCCTCACTTGCCATTCTGGTAAAGTTTTGAAATAAGGCACCGTGTGCCTTAATTTTTGTTAGTAAACTAGTCCGTGAGCCATTCTGAAGTAATCTTACCAATAACGCTTATCCCGTTGTTAAGCTGCATGGCTTAGTAGTATTAAATAAGCTGCTGCTAAAGTTACTAGGTAGACCATTAACACTCCATAAACAGCACAATGCTTTAGAAATTATCCAGGCACGATGTTGCCTCGGCGTAAAATAGGCTCCCGTATGGCACATATGTAATAAGTGTGTGTTGTGTGTACCGAGTCCATAATAAACTTTTAATATCATATTAAGAGGCTATTTAATTCAAACCTCCCGCTCCAAACATTACTGACTGTTAGGTATCCCTGATTTAAATTAGGGCACGTTGTAAAATAATTATTTGCGTGCGTTTATATAATTAATATTAATTTGATATCTTTTAAAACTTCTATGTCTATGTTAAGGAATTTTCCTTTTAAGACAAATTTGCACGCCGTTTTGTATGGCAGAATATGCGAACTTTAGATTGTACCACCATAATATTTTTGTAACATATTTTTGCAAATAACTTATTATTATTATTAGTAAAAAAAATATTTGGTTTTAGAATATTTGGTTACTGAATACCATACCGTACTTTTAAATTACGGTTTGTGGGTAGGTTCGTAATACCCGCTAAATTTTACTTTCTTTGGTTAATACTAATAACTATGGCTGCCATCCGTCCAGGTTTCCTCGGATTTGTCCTACTTTAGAAGACGTCCGGAGAGCGTCCGGGCGAGGTTTTAATTGTAGTCCGGGTTTTCGATCAGATCCCATTGTCATAATTTATGTAAATAAAAGCTATGGGTTAGGTATTTCACCGCACGCGCTGCTGACGCAATTTTACCACGCGAGCGGCGAGCGGGAGTAATTTATATTGGGTTTGTTGTACTTTTATTGAATCCCTAAGAAGGTTAAAAAATAAAGCAAAATTACTCACTTGTCGTCACAAGAATGATTAAACACACAATTTCATGCAACAAAAGAGGCTTCCTTAGTAGCCAAATTAACGTAAGACTGACGTCAGATGTTGGCTACTAGGGCTAAAATTAAAGTTTTCTTCTATCAAGTACGGAGTAAAATATATTTTAATCAAGATGTAAGTGAATGAAAAACGTATTCAAATGTGCGTGGTGAAAGCTCCAAAATCCGGGGAACTTACGCTTCCGGTCCCGCGGAGCAGGTTTTACAGATGGCAGCCCTACTAATAACCTAAGAAATAAATGATTTCAGTTTTCAAAGCGGTTTAATACATATAATAAAACATTTGATATCTTTCCTTCGTGAAAAATATTTATAATAATTTTGTGTGTATATTCAAAATATTTTAAATATTATTTTCAGAAATGATGCTAATGAATGACACCACGTCAACCGACGATATTAATTGTAAGTAATGAAACACAGTTATTGTGTGTGTAATTAAAACAATATGCCATTAAAAAAAACACTTCCATAGCCGAGTAGCTGAATGGTACCACTAAACATGTGATCCAAGTCCATTTATTAATATTTTTTTATATTTCTAAGCATATTTAAAAAAAGTACCTATTAAAATCTTGGAATAGTATTCTTATGTTTTTGTTTCAGGCTCTACTACTATACAACTAATGCAGTTATTTGACCTCAGCCAACCCAAAGATATAGTGACCTTCATCGAAGTAGAACCAGATAATATTAATGATACAAACACCACAATAAAAGAATCTGTTGATAAGGCTAAAACAGCCTTAAACAATAAAAGAAAATCAGTAATTAAAAAAAAAACAAAAGCAATGAAGAAGTCCCATGTATCAATAGACAAAGGAGAAGAGTCCTCACAAATTTCTAACGAATATAACAAAGTAACTCATCAAGACTTAAGAAGTGAGAATGCAATAAACATCCAAAGATTGCCATATACCCACCATTTTCCAGTTTCAAATTGTACCCTAAACAATTGCCCACTAACAAATAGATTTGAAGATTATAGTCCAGATCAAAGAGTGCAAGCCGCCAATCATAACTTTCACCAACCTCAAATGCATAGCGAAAGAACTAACCGGTTACAAATAACAAACCAATCCAGTAGTACATTCCCGCCTAGGGAAACCCCAGTTAGGTCAAATAATGTGCAAAATTTAAATCAGATCAGTCACGAAACAAATTATGGCCTGAATGTTATCATTGAGCATGTCTTTAATTTTTTAATACATGAGTCTCAATATAACTTTGGATTAAGTCAAAGAAAACTAAAATTGTTCCAACGCTGTTATGCCTATGTAGTTCGTTATTGCCTTGATCGTGATCTGTATAACGATTACAAAGTTTTTGATCACATAGTTCTAGTTGTTGATTCTATAGCTCGGAATAGATCACAGTATATTAATGATAACATAACGCGCCCGTTACTAAGTGAAATGTTCGAATGGTGTCGATACAAAACCCTGAACAGAAGTTGGCCACCTGCGTATAATCCGCCAGCGTATGATAAGAGCCAAATTAATACAACATCTAATGATCCAAAAATTTCTACGCTGCCACCGTATACACCTACTCGTACAAGCGTGTTACAAAAGAATTCAAATAAAAGTTCACAGATACATAATGAAACAGCTCCTGCAGTAAATAAAGATCAAACCTGTTTATTTACGTCAGGTAAACTTGGCAAAGAAATAAGTATAAACATAGACACCTGTCTTTTGCATACATTGCAATCTAAACCAGAAACTACACTTGCAAAATCACACAGCACATATATTCAGGAGGACAAAACGTCGAAATTAATTCAGCCCCCCATAAAACCTAGTACTGGAATGACCATCCCTTTCGAGATAGTTGCAGGACTAAATAAGAATGAGGTACAAAATCAAGCTGAAATAGTTAGATCTTCTGTATCGAGAGACAGTGGATTCATAAGTCCCCCAAATGTCAACAACCTGGAAGTTAGACTTGTCGTAAGTTTTATTTGGTATATCTAAATAGTAATCCTGTTTACAAATTATTTACACATTACAGACTCATTACCAGATGGTTACGATTATTTGCTGTTATTTAATAAGCCTGGCGAGTCGTTTACTTTTTATTTATATATGCGGGCAAGTCACTTGCATGCAAAAACAATTGTTAATCTATCAGTAAACGTTTACTAAAACAACCAATAAAACTTTATAATTTTATTACAGAGCCCCGTCCAACAAACTTCTTCAAATGAAGATGTTACGCCGATGATTACGCATGTAACGTCCCTAAACAGTAATGCATCATACATACGTCAAGGTTTATGTAGTGTTTGTAAAAATGAAACAAACACGCGTTGTACTGGATGCTACAAAGCTTACTATTGCAGCCGAGAATGTCAGGTAATCCTTAATTTTGTGAAGTATCAGTTAATAATGTAACCGTGGTTACGATTCTCAAATATTTAATAACCAATGTCCAGCTCTGTCTATTCCTTAAGTGTCAATAAGCAAAATATTGTAGTTAACGCTAAAAGTAAATTAAAACAAATCGAGCACCATATTCTACTAAGTCTAGTGTAGATGTGGTATTTATACAGTCCAATTTACATCTAGATTGAGTGTGCCATCCACGTGCCGTTATCCAACTCCAATAAATCCAATAGCAGTAGCATGTGTATTGCGTATACTGTCATAGACATCGCACCTTCGATGCCTTACACCGCACTATGGAAAATGGTAGAACAACGGCATATCAAAAATAGTTTTAATGTTGTTATTGACGCAGTTTTAAAAGTTTATTGAATAGTAAAAGAATGGAACTTTAATATATGTAGTAATTTTGCTTGATTTTCATTTGGAATATGTTTTTAAGCTATTGCATAGCTTTATCGCGGGCTTTGAGCGCGGCGACCGAATTAAGAAATTCCGTAACGAAAATAAAAACCTTATACACGATGACGTAATATGGCCAATACGCATTAGAGCGGGACAGAACGCATACTGCGTCTCACATCGGTCTGGCGTGATCAGTTACGTAGCGCAGGTGCTTTAGAGTGGGACAGAACGCATACTGCGTATTCACATCTCTCTGAGGAGATCGGTGACGTAGCGTAAGCGCGGCCGGTGCATGCTGAGTGCCACACAGTGTTTTTTTTTTATTCTAATTCTTTTTTAAATCATTTAAAATTATTTTTTCAAATTTCAAAAATATAAAGGAATAGTTATAAAGTGTAATACAGTTTTAGAAAACTAATGCAGATTTTATACAGTTTTATGAATAGAAAAAATAGTAATTGAGGGGAAAATAGAAATCTCGACGAAATTAAAAAACAGTTGCCGATGTCTCTCGGTTTATTTGATTTTGTTTTGTAGCGTAGATATATAAGAAAAAAATAAAAGAGTGTGTGTACTTATGTACAAGCGTTAAAAGTTATACTTCTTTGGCGTATGGAAAAAAAATTACTAAAATGCAGTAGTGATTAACGATAAATATTAAAATTAAACAATAAAATTATTATTAGTAAATACTATCACCGTCGTATATGAAATTGATTTAATAAAAACACCAAAACAACATTTTTTTAGTCACACTGTTTAATTGTACTGTTACGAAACACGTGTTCTAAATATAATAAATAATTTTTCGATAGACGAAAAATATAGCACAGAGCGCCCCACGCTTTTTCACAATAATACCAGTATTTTTTGTTCATTACCATTTTCAGCCTAAATTAGGAATTATTTTTCACTTTTTATTACATTGTCATCGACCTTTGACAGGTGCGCAAAGTTTGAATTAAATCTGTCCGTTAAAAGTAGGTCAAAATCGAGTCCGAAAGAGTCGGTTACATACATACATACATACAGGTGAAGCTAATATAAAGCGTGTAAAAATACAAGAATATGCAACTTGAACATAGTTATTATCGATTTTCATGCCACCTAGAACTAACTTCATTGTGTTAATTTTGTGTAACGGCGCGCGCGCATCGTAAAATTTCACTCTCATCAATTTTTCATAACGTGACTAAAGAAGTATAACTTCAATAACATTGATTAAAACCAGCCGCGGATACGTGCGATTTTAGACGTTATCGCGAAAAGTATGATATAAGTCAGGAAACAGAAAACCTCTATTGTGGTTTCTAATGTTGAACTATTTAATTGATTAGTTTGCGGTTATTTATTGATAACAGAGTGTTTTATCTTCATTTTGCACTTATTTGGCGGTATAATTTTAATCAACAAAATGCACACTTCCGCCGGAAGAACGAACACGGGATGTGTCTGTCAGCGCCTGCGCCACCTCGTGGTGATATACATTAATTAATACGGTATATAAAAATGTTATTGACTCTGGCACACTCAATATCTATCTTATGTTTCAAATCAACAATCGTTCAAAATATTTTAAATATTGTTAATAAATAATTAATATACTTTATTTTTACAGCTATCGGAATGGTACGTTCATAAGATATTATGTAGTAGCCATCATTGAAAGAAAATAAGTTTACCAACTGGCGATTGTCGCAGAATTAAAAATATTTTATTGGCACGCTGCTGGAAGTTCGACTTGTATTCCAACATGTTGCTCAACATCAAGGCGCAATCTAAACTCAAGCATTTCGTAGAAAAATGGTGTCACTGATGTTGAATGTAGATTTAAATTTGATATGCGTTTTGAAAGACGCCATTATTATGTTTTTATACACTTCTGGACACATCTATTGGCCCACCTTGCATTTTCAGTTTCTTTTGGTCCTACCTAAAAATTTATATTAGGTCGAGTAAAAAGTTTTTATGCAGTTTTGAACCTGATACATTTTACCATCTTTTTCGATCGTATTGTTTTAAATTTGAATTTAGAATACCACACCACATGGAGATAAGCCTAACAAGTCGGGTATGCGCCTTGATGAAGTCAGTTGATTTTTGAATAAAAAACGTGTTTTATCAAATAAAGGTTTAATTTAATAACGCGTGTTGCCTCCATGGGCATCTACGAAAGCTCTGATACGATTAGGCATAGAGTTTATCAACCGCTCTACAAAATTTTGAGGGATCATCTCCCATCCCTCTTCTATGGCAGTTTTCAATTCCTGCATCGTCTGGGCAACTGGCTGACGAGCCCTAACACGTCTTTTTAGCTCGTGCCACATGTGCTCAATGGGGTTCATATATGGGCTTCTGGCTGGCCAGTCCATAACTGCGATGTTCACATCCTGAAGATATTCTCTGACGATGCCGGCCGTATGGGCTCTTGCATTATCATGCATAAAAAGGAAATTTGGGCCCACATAGTCCGCGTATGGCATCACGTGAGGTTCTAAGCACTCAAGAATGTACCTTTCACCATTTAATGTTGGCAGCCGTGATCCCGTAACAACTTCAAGTTGAGTTTTGCCGCTCGCAGATATACCGCCCCAGACAGTCCATGAGCCACCGCCATAAGCAACCCTCTCTTCATAGCAGCATTGTGCAAAACGCTCTCCGTTACGTCGGTAGACCTTCTTCCTTCCATCATTGCCATGTAACGCAATTTTAGACTCATCAGAAAAGAGTACACCGTTCCAATGCTGCTGAGTCCAATTTAAGTGTGAACGCGCGAAATGAAGGCGCGCTATTCGGTGGGCTCGCGTTAGTTTTGGGCCATTAGCTGGCTTGTGTGGTACCATATCGCGTTCTTTTAATCTTCTCCGAACAGTTCGAGCGCTCACATTTACTCCATGGAAGTCGCGAAGTTGGTTTTGTATCTCAATGGAGGTAAGGTGACGATTTCTCAGGCTGGTCGTCACGATGAATCGATCCTGCCTTTAAGTTGTGACCCGAAATCGTAGCCTTCCTTGGCCACGAACAAAGCCGCCAGGCTCTAGGTATCTCTGATAAACGTTTCGGACCGCAGATCGACTTAAATTAAGTTGATCACTCACATTTCTTTGGCTGTGTCCGGCCCGGATAAGTGCCACAGCTTGGGCGGCGACTTCAGGCGAAGTATCCATAGATTATTGATAGAACCTCATCTTAATGTTAAGAATAAGTAATGTTTGTTGCAAAACCAAAGAGAAAAACACACTTTCAAGAATTAAATCCAACTAAACGAATAAAATCAAGTTTTCTTAGTATTCGATTGTTTGATATCAATGAGCAGGCTCCAAATTGTCTTTTGTTTCTTTAAATTCTGTGTTCGAAATAAAAAAAAAATATTGAATGCAATTATGAATGTGCCAGGTTCAAAACTGCATAAAAACTTTTTACTCGACCTAATATAAATTTTTAGGTAGGACCAAAAGAAACTGAAAATGCAAGGTGGGCCAATAGATGTGTCCAGAAGTGTATGATTGCCGACGTTATCTTGTACTTTCCCTGTAATATGTATTGATTTGCTTCGAAAAATAACTTTCGATTAGTTGCTGCAATTTTTAATGATAAGTATTATAACTATACCAACTATATAAATCGTAGTTGGATAGTACATTAAAGCTACCTATTTTATATTATGTTCTACAGATTTGTTATACAAACAGAAAGCGATAAATTTCACTGCCCCTATTAAACAGGCAAATTTTATCATCGTAGTCTAACATTATATCGCTAAGGGCAAGAAGTTTTGCACTTTCTGTATTGTACGTGAATTAAAAAAAGACAATTGTTAATTAATTAATAAACTAATTCTGAAAGGCATTATTATTATTAACCTTCCATTCAATTCCTTCAAAAAAGTAAAAGAATAATGAGAGCTAAGCTTTCTGCAGATGGAATTTGCCAAGTACAACCCCATGGAGTTCTAAGGGGCACATTGCAGACAGGCGTAATGTTGCAGGTAAATGTCTATTCCGCTAATAAATAGGATAAAAAACCTAAAAACAATAAGATTCGTGTAAAAATGAGACTGGACACCTAGACACTTGCCTCTCAAAGTTATGGTGGCATTCCACATGGCTATTTCTGATTGCTAATTGCCGATATGCATATACGAAATGCTCCCGCCGGATAATAAACACAAAAATTTGCCGCAGTAAGCAATGTGTACACCTATGGGTGTATTTCTACTAGTAGAAGAATTTTATTATTTAAATCCATGCGAAATTCGTGCTGTGTGTGAAAAAATACATAGTAAGAATGCTGGTAGTATGCTCTTCTGAACATGGCTATTAGGTATGTGGACGGTTTATTTTCCTATTTGACGTGCCCTTTGATGTGCGTCGAGGAACCGACAACGGTATGGGATGCTCGATGATCATCGATGTTGCTATACGAAAAATATCGTAACATGGATGTTAAAGGAATCGATCATCGATCGATCAATCCTCGACCAATTCATTCACTGCGCACCGTACGTTCCCTTCGTTCATTCTTCGAAGTGTCGCTCGCTCTTTCTCTCTCACACTTCCTCTCTACTCTTGATCAAAAAAAGAAATAGATTAAAAGGTTCTTTATCAAAATTACTTTTCCTTCAGTTACTTGATAAAAAATATTGGAAATTGGAATATGTAATAAATTGTATCGAAGGAATATAAAAAAGTTTCTTCGTCTAAACATTCACACCTCTCTCTCTTCCACTTTTTTTGGCGACAATTGCCTCGCAATGGAAAATTGATTGTGTACGTGAAACAGAATTTCAAAAGCAATAATCGTATTTCGAGGTTTTGTGCCAGTTGCTACCATGGTGCAGTGCGTAAGGGTGTTTTAATTATTAATACAAGAATTAATTAAACAGAAACGGAAAAAAGATTTTGGGTTAAAAAATTGGGTTTTATAATTTTCTTTTTCCGTGTTCCACAAACACTCGTAACTTCTATAAAGTTCAAATAACTTAATATTATCGGCAGCCCCAAAATTAAAAGGATTTTTGAGAACAATACCCTAGTAATCACTAAACTCGAATGAAAAATCTCGCACTCAAAACGGTTCAAACCGATTTGTACGACATTCGTATGAACATAAAAAATGTCTTACGAGATCGTGTTTCGAGATTCTCGTAAGAAAGAATCTTCTTACTAAAATGTCGAAATTATCGCCTAGCGATAAATAACTGGTGAATTGCAAAAAAAAAATTGCCATCTCAAAATCAGGTTTATTTCTTCTTAATTTAACTAACAATAAAGAAATTGATCCATTCCACTGATAATAATGACTTGGCTGCCCCTACAATTATATTATTACGATACTTGCTGTGGTAGTGAGTTTCTTCCATGCGAAAACAGTTGGGATTGCAGCCTTTTTCAAATATCTATGAACTTGAGGTAAACCTAAAATGAATGCATAATAATTAGTACTACATTACATAGTATTACATACCTTAGTACCTATACCATATACATTATAATTTAAAAGTAGTTTATGCAAACTTTATAATCGGATTCAATAAAATTTTCCGCTTCCGAACATAACCTCGAAGAGCTTTGAAATGACGTCTTTTTAGAGCTTTTTCCCAGAGTCATCTTATGCGTCCTTAGGAAAACTGTGATTGCCATTGTTATTACAACCGAATGCTGCGCAGCGTGGTATTTTTGGAGAAAAAAACTGTTTTATCTTGTGTTATAATAATAAAGTAGGGGCTTAGACGTTTGCATTTGTTATGGGTCAAGCGATACCAGCGCTACAGGCTACTTACTAGTGGCAAAGTTTGGCAGTTTTCTCCTCCGTTGGCACTGTACATAATCTGTGAAATCGGAATAGTCTAAAGAATACCAGAGACTGCCCTAAGGCCTAAGTACATTCGAATACCTATGTATATAGTTAAATTAGTAGTCTTTGGAATACTTATAAAATACAATAATAACAAATTAGAATATAAAAATAATTATAAACAAATACTGATTACTTTCAATTAGTATACGTTTATTAACGATTGTGATTCACATTACTACTGTAAATTGCATTAAAACGGGAGAGTAAGTGAAGATAATATGTAACGTCAAAAATGTTTTTACTTGCGATTTATTTAAGTTATCATTGTGCGAACAAAACTAAGCTTCCGCGAGTAACAATGTTTTATGCTGCTATATTACGCTTCATTCGGAGGCCCTTGGTGCTTGGAATCATATTTGCTTCATCATTAACTTACTGTATTGTGAGTTTTCTCAAAGAGGTTAGTTACCTAAATTATATCATGATTTTAATTAAACAATTTGTCTTTCTTCCTTTTTTTATAGTATAAGGTAATCATATTATTTATTCCATAGAAGTTTAAACAAGATTTTTATGTATTCTTTTTCCAAATAGTTAAGAAATGTAATGTAAACTTTATACTTTAAGGGTAACAACAAAAATATGATATATCAAGACGTCTCAGTTCAACATAAGCCATTTGTTTGGCGTACTCTACAAGAGCATAATGAAACAACTGATGTGGAATGTAGAAATTCTGTCCAAGGCCGGGCATTAATTGTTGATGATAGAGGTATTCAATACTTTCCTTGGTCCTACTGTATATAACAGCTAATACCAATAACAAACATTTAGGAAAAATGTGTCTAATGCTGCTGAAAAAAATTA